GTTTAAGTGTATTTATTCCCGACTATCAGTTGCACGTTACAACGCAACCTGAAGACCATATCTTCCTATAACAATTTGATCTTGCTGTTAGATCCAAACCTAGATTCCAATAGGTCTGCATGTGGCCAAATAACCGAGGAATAGTTTTATACACTCGTGTCCCAATCTAAACTAAAATTCGCTACCTTATCTAACATTACGTCACTATCACTGTCACTATAGTTCTCCTTAAATACATTAGAATCGTGGGTCGTAAAGACATCAGAAAAAACTTGCTTTGTACCAAGGGATTTGTCGTTAACCTTGTCTTCATCCTCTCCGACCAGCTTAGGGATCGACTTCTTTTTACGACTGTTGGGTATCTCGAATTATCGACCAATTTTTGTTCAGAACTGTGAGCGCGGACCAAGCTGCTAACCGACCAATATATGTTCAGAACTACCAATATTCCAAGGAACCAAGATTGAAATGCACAACACGAGCCAAGAGGCTTCAGCCAATAGATATTTGTTTAGAACTGTAAGATCCAAACCTAGATTCCAATAGGTCTGCATGTGGCCGAATAACCGAGGAATAGCTTTATACACTCGTGCCTCAATCTAAATCAGAACAAAGTGTTTTGGGTAACACGGTTCTAAGTTTCATCATATATACAAATGTACAAATTTACCTAAACAAATATAACCACCCGGTTATTCAACCAACAATTGATACCAAAATATTCAATCTAAATTACAATAAATAGCAAAGTGGTAAGAAATATATGAAAATTACCGAAAACACCAAAAGGTAAGCGTTATTCTATCCTTTGTGAATAGAGCAAGTAAGACTCCGTTTGAGCGGCTGTTTTATGACGCAATGTGTTTCAATTTCTGGGAAAGTGCTCCAAATTACAACCAAGAATGCACGATCCCAGTCAAAATCAAACCGCACAATCAAATAGCAAGCAATCAATATGGCAGCCGCCAAAATAATATCAATTAAAACAAATTATATACAGTTCAAGAAGAATATAGAAACCCAATGAAAGCAACAAAAGAAACAGAGAAAACTATCATGAAATGAAACATCACAATTCAAAATAGCATCAAAAATATTAACAATAATGTGCAAACAACAAAAACATTGAGAAGAAGCTATGGATGTATGCATGGAGGGATTTTCACACACGAAACGTTCAAATGGATTCTACACTTGCCTACAAACTGACATAATTTCATGTAGCAGGTCATTATTTGTGGATAAATAATTATTATTAAAATCGAAAGTCGGCACACGCTACACTGGTATTTAGAAGAGGTAGACATGGCGAACCTTCAAGCTAGTGGCAAATAGCACCTCAATAAATTAAAAAATAATGGACTCCCTGATGGTCTACTTATTGTCCACAAACTTCTCTTCACACCAACGGCATGGTATTAGGAAAGGTCAGTGTTTTATAATCAATCTTCTAACCACAGTGGACAGACGGACAACCCTCCTTGATCTTAAAGGGAAGGTCTATGTCTTATAACCACACGTAGAGTGCTGCATCCAAGCAGCTGGCTCATGTCTGATAAAGGATACTAACTCACCTGAGTGTGTCCAGTATGTGGAGACGAAATTAGTGAAGGGTCTTTCTTAACTCCCTTACGACGAGCGATTAAGACGCCTCAACCTTTCCTCCTTGTCTTATCGTAGGACGCAAAGTGACCTTATACTGGCATTTCATATCCTTAATTATGATTTGGGTGTTAAGATGTCTTATCTGAGATGGTGGAGAAGATTTGTAGCTCAGATAGGTGATTTTTATGTTGGTTTGTTCTCTGAGCTGGATGGTCTGGTCGTGGAGCTTTCATCGTCCTTCTGAACGATATCATCAGCACAAACTTCGGGTAGAAGTGAAGTGTTTGAATTTCTCCACATGTGATTCACAGCTTGTCCTCTGCACTTCGATGTTGATTGGCGGTCACGTTGCGTCGATAATGTTTTGATACTATTGGACGATCCCTACCTGTAGATGTGTCACACAGTAAGGTTTCCTTACCTATTACCATCTGCTTAATACTTAGTTTAAGAGTTGTCGAGGATAACTCATGCTGAAGAACAATGTCTTCTTTTTGAAGCTGGGCGAGTTTTAGAATGTCGATTCCTTGGAAACTGTCCAAGGAACTTATTCGAGACAAGGCGTCTGCGACTACATTGTTAGCTCCAGAAATGTGTTGTGTGTCTGAAGTAAACTGCGAAATGTAGTCGAGTTGTCGAGACTTTCGCGGTGAGTACTTGTCTGAAGATGAACTTAAAGAGAAGGTAAGAGGTTTGTGATCGGTAAAAAGCGTGAATTCTCTTCCTTCGATAGAATACATAGCTAGGAGTTCCCTACCGAAAGTGCTGTACCTAGATTCCGCGTCTAACAACCGTCTCGAGAAAAATCCTAAAGGTTGCCACGAGTTATTAACCCATTGTTGTAAGACTCCTCCGATTGCTGAGTCGGATGAGTCTACGGCGATACTAATGGGCGCTTGAGTGTCTTGATGAGCAAGTAAGGTTGCTCTAGCGATGTGTTCCTTAACTGTCGAGAATGCTTTACGGGCTGCGTCGTCTAAACTAATTGATTTTGCATTTCCACGAAGCTGATCGGTTAACGGTTCCATAAGAGCGCATTTGGGTACGAACCGAACTTGCTATTAGACAGTCATCAACATATGCATGTACGAAGTTGAGACCTCGGAAGACATCGTCTATAAACCTTTGGAAGGTTTGAGACACGTTTCTGAAACCAAAAGGCATTCGCAAGAATTCGTAAAGACCGAAGGGAGTGATGATGGCGGTTTTAGGAATGTCGTCAGGTGCCATCGGGATTTGGTTATAGGCTTTAACTAAGTCGATTTTTGAAAAGACAGTAGTACCTTTCAAGGTAGCTGTCAAATCGTTAATATGAGGCAGCGGGTAACGATCGGGAATGGTTTTAGCATTCAGACGACGATAATCACCAGTTGGCCGCCAATCATTGCTGTCCTTTTTAGGGACCATGTGCAATAGGGATGCCCATGGACTATTTGATGGTCGAATTCGTTTTTGGCTAACCTAAGTTTTTCGGGAGCGAGTCGGCGGGCTTTCGAGAATACAGGTGGTCCTGTAGTTGAGATGTGATGTGTAACATTGCTAGTTACACAAGGCAATTTCGATATCCTAAAGTATTTGTCGAGTAATGATTGGTACAATGGGTCTATGGTGTACTTAATCGTGACAGTGAATAACCTGCAACCAGAACAAGGAGTTACGCAAACGGATAACTTGGTGTTTCCGTCTATTAACCTTCGTGAGCGTGTGTCGATGAGTAGATTGTGGTGTTGTAACAGGTCTATACTAATGATTGGCATAGAGACATCTGCAACCACGAAAATCCAGTGTATGGGTTTGCGTAAACCCACGTTAAGGTAGACGTACCTTTTACCGTAAGAAGCGATCGGTTTTCCGTTTGCCGCCAGTAAACTTAAAACAGACTCTTGAAGTCTGTCGTTGAAGTTCACGGGAAGAGCGCTAACTTCTGCGCCGGTATCGACGAGGTAGCGAACTTTCATGGTCACATCAGTGACATATAAGAGGCGGCTGTGTTCGCCGGCTACGGTTGCCGTTAACGCGTGCCGGCTGGGAAGTTTCCCGAACTGTTTTTCGTGTCACTCGATTTCGGGGTCGGATAATTGCAGGGCTTCCTGCAATTTCTAGAGGATTTACCGTACTGGTTGTGATATCAGCACCAGTCGGGGTTGTTTGTCTCTCGTGGTCGAGAGCCAGATCTCTTACGTGAAACGCTCCTACGTGAGGATTTTGACCGACTACGGTCATTACGAACTCTAAGATATCGTGTAAGCGTGTGACATAGTTCGGACATGTCAGTCGGGGTCGATTGATGTTTTTCCTTGACGGAAAAATCCTCGGCCTTAGATGATTTCATGATTTCTAAGATGCAGTCGGCAGATGTAGCCAGCTCGTCTATGGCGTTGTTTTGAAACGAGACGAGCACTGCATGCACCTGTTGAGGGAGTTTAGACAAGAAGAGTTGTCTGAATAGGCCATCATCGAAAGTTCGTTGGCCGATAACCTCTCTCATTCTTAGCAACATGTCTGTCGCAGAACCATGTTGCAGGTCGATATTGTTAAGCAGTTGGTCTAACCGTTATCGATCAGTTAGATCTCCGCGTTTTAAAATCGATTGTTTGAGAATTTCGTAAGGTTCCGGAACATCACTAGTAAACATACTAGGTGTTACGTACCTGTTAAATTCGCGCGGTAATGCCTTAACTACCACGAGGAATCGTGTGCGCGAGCCTGTGATTCCGTGCATGCAAAAATCAGCTTCTGCGTAGCAGAACCAGGGCTAGATATTGTCGGGTCAAAATGGCGTTAACTGAATCGAAATAGGGGGAATAGACTTTAACTTAAAAATCTTAGGTGAGTGTTCCGTCATATTAATATAAAGAACGAAAAGTATCTAATTAAAATATATCCGGGAAAAAACTCGCGAAAAAAGGTATATCACAAAATATAAAATTCAAATAAAGAATAACAATGAATAATAATATTCCAAAAAGGAACAGACTCACAGTATATTGGCTTGGTGTACCAGATCACGTTAGGCTCACCACTGAAAATACGACGGGTATTCTAGTTTAACAACTAGCAACCAGTAGTATCTTCTATAATCGATCGTTCCAGGCCAAAGGAAATCAGAAGTCAGATGAGAAAAGGTAGGAAAGATATATTTAATACGTTACCAATATATCGAGAGGCGTTCGTTATTAGCTGACTATGGAAACGTAGTTGTCCCACGCCGAGTTGCAACGTGATTTGTTACGGATGCATGACCGAAAGCCTTCAGTTAAACAAGTCCACTTATACAACGTGGTCAGCACCCAATGTCGAACACTTGCATAGCTATTGATTTTGGGGATTTATTTACAGCTACAACCCTATATCACGCATCATTAAGACGGAACCACTTTTGCTACTTCAAGGATGGACTTTATAAGACATAGTGTGGATGAACTCAAATCAAGTCTACCGCTTCTGCAAAACCTTACGAATTTTCGGGGTGACGCACCAATCATTTTGTGACATTTGACCTTCAAGTGCTCAACAACCTCTAACAGTGGATGATACCCCTGAAGGGTTGCTCAAGGCTATCTCGTTCTCATGTTTTCCGTATGTACTTTGTTTCCGTTACAATACTCTCATGCTAAGCATTTTTATCCTGAGTCTTTATAGCGAAGCTTCAGTGTATTTCAGTTACTACTGTGTGTTAACAATAACATTTGTCAAGTCCTCATGCCTCAAAAAAACAAAAATGTTGATACCACTTAGTATTTTGAAACATTTTAATCGTCTCGTCCTATCTATATCGAGGAGGGCTCCACTTCAAACCCATCGGGAGTCTCAAAACCAACTTAAGCGTGGGGCTAGTGTTCCAGAAGCAGGAGGATTTAAATAGAATCCAATGATCCGACATGGTCCAATCTACTATACTAAAAGAAACGCCATGAATCTTGGGAACACTTTTGGATGTAGTTTTATCACATTCGTTAAACAAGGACGTGATTCCTGATAGTTGGAAGCCAAAATACATAACATTGATTTTCAGAGGTGGCCGTGGTAATGAACCTTCAATCCAACTGTCGGTAGTATTTCTGCCAGTACTCTTTGAGGTTATGATATCCTTGATTTACGATGGCTTATGCAGCTATCTGATATCTTAGAACTTATTTTTTACCTCGAAAACAGTTTCAGGTGGACTCATACCTGCATCACCAATCGGCTAACGGTGGTGAACAGATTACTTGGTACTGTTCAGTGAAGACGCTGAAATAATGCAGTCTTATGACCACCTAGAGGGACAGTGCAAGCACGCGTATAGTATGTTTCTGTCCATCTAGGTGTCAAATGCTGCCTCAAAATCGGTATGCGTCAAGGCCTCAACTTAGCTTGGAAGTCTTATCAACCCTTATAAGTTGGTGTCTGGCAAAGTCTCATCACGTGTTCAAGTGGCCCGGTTGGTGACACTATTTTTGGCGTACGTGCCTTTACTGGGCAACAGTTCGCTCCGTTCTTTATGGACGTGAAACGCGACCTCTTAAAATCAAGGATATTTGCAGGTCACTAGTGCTTGATATTAGGTACCTTCGAGGCATTTCTAGTGTACGCTGGGACCACTAAGTTGACGATCCTCACGTTGTATGCACAGTACTAGGTGAGTACCAGAAAGTAACTTATAAGGTAATAAACCTTTGCTGGCTGAGAATATCGGGACATATATTACGTTTGCCCATCCGCCAAACAACTCAATACTTAATAAGACCCAATGCAGGTGTATTGGGATAAATCTATATGCGACCAAACTAAATCATTGCACTAATCCATGAAAACACTGACCTTTGAACTGAGCTTTGTTGGTAGGTGCAGGTGCAAACTACCTGGTTGGCGTCCGTGTGACTATCATAAACAACTGTTAGAGAATGTGAATGACATGACTCAAAATCCTTGGCAATGGTGCAGGTGTATTCGCTCTTTCTCTTCCCTCAGGTCCCAAGTTTCTAAATTCCCCATAAACTTCTTTCTATTATTTCACCAATGTATGTTTTCTTGTTGAATAGTATCTTGGGTGTTTAATCTATTCTATTACCTCTAATCCTGTTACTTCCTCCACTAAACTGGAATTTGCTATAAGAATTTCACCTTGCTATGCTAATACGGCACGGAAACTTGAACTGACGTGTATATGTGTCAGGTTCTAAGTTGGATTTGACTGGCTGAGTAAAATGTTACTTTGTTTTCGATCTCTAGGTAAAGGTTTGTATGATATACATCGGTTTCTGGAAAGCTTTTAATACCGTCAATCATACATGTATCACTAGTAAGCTTAAGCTCAGTCAGTCAGTTACAACGTAGGACCAGACACATTTATGCATCGGTCCAAGTTGCCGTACCTCGTTAGCACAACAAGATGAATACCGAACTCATAGAAGTAGTTAATTTAGTGGTGGTAGTATATAAAAGAGAGGTTGTATATAAGGATATAGTATAGGAAGAAAGTTATGAAGCAATTTTAATCTCAAGGTTTAAGGGAAGATAAAGAGTGTATACACCTACTCCATTGTGATCGATTCTGAGCCATGTCACCTAGAGTCTCCAACCATTGGTTACGATAGTCACGCGGACCCCAAGTAAGCTTAAGCTGATAGGTATAATGTCACCATTAATAGACTGGTTTGGGCCATATACAAATAATCAGCTGTTTAGATTCAGGGTAAACTTCTCAAGCTACGGAATGTCCTGGTAAAGCCCCCCATGTTTCGCCATTAGGACCTCTTAATTTATATATAACCTTCTTCAGTAAGTATCTATTAAGTTATGGCTTTTTGCTGACGATGCTAAACTTCGAAGAGGAGTTTGTAACCAGGATGATAATCTAAAGCTTCTGGATTATTGTTGGGGAGAAGGCAGTAATGGTTCACCTTCAGTAGGTCGAAATATAAAGCAGTCCGTTAGATGCATGTCACCAGCTACTCTTAAAACTTGGGTGATCCCCGTATGATGTTTCCCAGGTTGAAAATGATCCAGGATCGCTGATTCCCTATGGTCTTACGTTGAATGTGACAAATGTGTTTAAGGCAAACCGTGCACCGACAACCATGAAGCACATTTTCGACCAGATGACAGAACGTTCTACGTTAACTTGGTTTTATTCGACCCTATTTAGAGTACAAAAACGTGTTTCATCCTTCACTTGAAAGATAAAGAAGATTCCGGGACATATCCTAAGGAAATCCACAAAGTTAGTTCGAAGACTCCGATTCGAACTTTATGACAAGCGTTTTAAATTATTGGATTTTAATACGACCATTTAGGAGACTCAAGCGACATTTGAATGATATATAGTATCCTAAACGCCCCTTTAATTAAGCTCAGTCCCAACACAAACCTTAGGGTCGATGACCAAGAATTAATGGGACAACAAAGCGAACTGGACTGTGGGGGCAGCTACTCCTTACAAGTAGTCAAGTTCCGGAATTCACTACCGGCTGAAGTGGTTCTAGAAACGTTCTCGGAGTCCTAGAAGAACTTTATTCTGTTCTTAAAGTGTCGGGACAGCATTTCACTATGGTTTTCTTGTTAAATACACCTAGGTCCGTACCTATAAGTATCTGGAATCTACTGCTACTGGATACAAAGCCTGTTCAGCAAAATTTTCTATTCCATCCTCACTATTTAAACCATACTATTAAAACTCTAGTTACTGTATACTCAGCCTTCTAAGTCTGTAGTTCTGGATACTTGTATAATTATGAAATTATAACTGGTTTTAAGATTTTGCTTTGTGATAAGTGGAGTATTCGCCAGTCTCGTCAATTCGTATATTAAAATATAAAAACAGGATTATCCTGTACGTTCGCTTAAGTCCTCGAAATAACCTTTGGTATTCTTATAGTTTAGCTTTATCGCACGCAGCAGCGCCTTCAAGACAACAAATTTCAAGGGCCAGAGCCTTCTAACTATTTTAGGTTTGTAGTGACTGTCTCTGACAAGACGTAACTATTTTGTTTCTAAGTCTCGTGATAAACTAGTGCGCACATCAGTTTTCTCAAAAAGATTATGGTCATGCTTGTATATTCATGATAGAATATTTTCCGTCATCTTTCTACCAGGGCAAATGACAGTGCCTCGTTTGAAGTAGCAGTCGTTTATTTATTTAAATACATAAATATTGGCACAAGGAGGCACTAGATACATATGAGCCGCACAAATCTCATTTGATTTGTGTAAGGGCTGAGATACTGCCCAGGTGCCCAAACTGAAGCAGTTGGTTTTCTAAGGGGGCCACACCCGGAGCCTTTGACCTAAAGGTCTGATCCACAAGCAGTGGAGCATCGTATGGAGATGCAGTGCCATGGCAGCCGATGACCAAGGATTGGTTCATACGCCATTCGTTCCTCAGGATACTGGAGCCCATGTGCACCATTGGTTTGGAATCAGGGTTTTCCAACTCCCCTAGGTGAACTTTCCGTGTCCACTAACCCGGTCAAGGCGCCGGACATTCGCTTTTCGTTCTCTCAATTTCGTAAAGAGCACGCCTCCGCGAGAAGGCAGTGAGTAGGACTTCCGTGACAGAGGCCATATACGCGTGGCCATGTGAGAGCATTTCGAGAGGGAGGGCGGACTCTCCCCACTCCCGACCGTACCAGGGCATTTGGGTGCTCGACATCTGACATGCTCCTCCATTTCTACTGCTTATTATAAAATCAATTGGTTCTAGATTAATTTTCTAGAGATTCAAAGCAACGAAGTATTTTAATCGCTGAAAAATTCCCATCATATTAAAACAACAAAAGTATTTATCGAGTATTCTAGAACTCAATGCTATGTTCTAAAATGCATCGATCCTTTTCGTCCTAAAAGTAGAAATAATAATCACAAACTCTGTTTTTGTATTTTATTATGTCTGTATCCGATTTTGGGTAAATGACTGTTATTTGTGAAAACCCGAATGCAGGTTAAGTTTTATCATAAATTGTTGGAGAAAACAAAAGTGATATTCCGAATAAATAATACCTTGGCTAGTTACTATGATTTCCCAGGAATGCTTCAGTACATTTGATCCTTAGTCTTACTTTTACCAAAGTAATATTACTTCCCCTACGGTTTTTCTGTGGTTTTCTGATGCTTGTTTGGTCTCAATGCAGCTCAACAATTTCCACAACCCTATACTGATAATCATCATGTGCTCACTAGCGACTATCTTCGAGAGGTAATTCTTGGGGTCTTAATGAGAAGCCGTAGCTAGAGGAGTTCAACAGTGTCGGGTGTAGGGCAGTTACCCTCCGAAGACAATCGAAGATGGTCGTGCATCATTGTGGATTGGTTAAATTTAAACATTAACACGATATGATCATCCAATGCTTCCAGATTTTCAATGGTGGTCTAAAACCAATTGGTTCATGATCTCAGTGCAACTCAACAATCTCCACAACCGTATACTGATATTTAATTTATTATGATCACATGGTATTATGCCGAATAATATTTTTAAGTTTCGAGAAATTATTTGTGGGAGTGTAGTTTTTAGTTCCTCATTCCTTTTTAGGTACTATAATCGAGAGAAAAATCTCAGCAAACTGATACAAAAACATCAATTTTGTATGTTTCTACATGGGTTTTATTATTTGCTGCCCTGTTTTTAAAGGTACATGAAATATTTGGGAAACAAATTACTTGTTCATCATCGATACGGTCGAAGTCACGGAATTACAAATCACACTTCGTGTAAAACCTTCCTAAAAGACTGCAAATGATTTTCAAGTTATGGAAAGTTCATTGGGCAGTGTGCTACTCACCATCATTTTACAAAGTACGCTACAGTTCAAGATCTCACTCTCCTGCATTCGTAATTAGAATTAAACTACTAATATTTGTTTTAAGACATCCAAGAAGATCAAACTCGAGGTATGGGAGGGAATAACTGTCAAGGAATTGTCGTCAGCTGCTAAAATATCTCCTCACGTAATTCTTAGAACCTTAAACTCAGCTCTTGTTACAAAACACAAAGCAGACACCAATTCTAGTATGATTGCTTTTGCACAGTTAGTTAAACTTTAGAGTTGGAAGATAAAGCGATCATCGAAACTCTAGTGAAATTAATGGGATTCACACCAGTGTTCAGGCACCAGATTATTCACGAAACAATCGACTGTGATGCTTATCCAAGGTAATTTAATCTCAACATTTGTAAAGTAAATTTTAATGAGGGTAAGTTAAATACGACACTTAATTTTCTGAGCCACTAAAATGGTAAGAAATTTCGAAAGTGGTTTTTCTATTGTGTTTCAACTTCTTCCCAGTAGAGTGCAAAAATCATTTTGCTTTTCCCAGCAGCACGTGTTTTTAAAGTCACTTCCTCTGCACATTTAATTGTTGACGTTTTTAATTAGTGTAGAATGTAGCGTATCTTAAGCTGCTGTGTAATTTTGTTTAGATCCAAGTCCATTGATACAGTAGTATTGTATATACCGAGGTTAAATTCTACTTTTAGGTATAGATTTGACGACTGATTCCACTTTGATTTCAGTTCTCGGGAGAAGAAACGAATTCACTCATTTATCAGGCACTTGGTATGAGAGATAATAGTGCCACCTGGTTGGTTGGCCCGAAGTAGGTGGAGTGCAGTTCGAATTTGCGACATAGTACTTGAAAGCTAAGACAAATTAACCAGAAAGATAATACTTTCATACTCTATGATCATTGTTTACTGCAGATAGACGTTTTAGAAAAAAATATTGAAAAAGACTTGTCTTTTGCAACGAAACTGTTGATTCCTAGTCACGAAAATGCATTTAACTAGATTACTGAATTAGTGTTAAAGTTACACACTTAGCTTTGAGTAAATGAACCAAAGTAGTTGTGTATGGATATCATCGGAGTAGCCTAATTAGGTTTTGTTTACTACAAATTATTACGTTTACTGGCGGTTAGACAAATAATGATTATTATAAGCTTCAGAGTGATCAGCAGTGGGATTAGTCTCTAAAGTTACCCAATGTATTAATTCTCAATTTTTGAGGTTGAGAAGTGAGACAACTCGTTTGCGGACGTGTTTAGACTACACAGTTTGTTTGCTGTTTGAAATAGAAATGTTACTGTGACCTAACTGTTGGAGACATGGGATCCTTTGTAGAGTTGATGCGGTGGCTTAGTGGTCAAGGCATTTAACCTTTAACCACTAGTTTCCAGGTCCAAGTTCTGCTACACATACTTGAGTTTACTCAAATGCGTAGTTGCACTAGCCTTCATATATAAAGTGTCACCCAAAGCTAGGTAAGTGATTTTTCACTTGCTGGGTTCCATCACATTCTGGAGACCTGAATTTCCCTGATTTAAAGATCCTTTGTTTTTAGTTACGTATAGAATCTTTATTGGATTACATTATTACTTCTTTGTTCATGTGTATCATTTTGTACACATGGCGGTATTACAAATAAGATACTTAGTTTTACTCATGAAAGATGGTTTTAGAAGGATGATGATGAATAACGTATCTAAATGATTGCAAATATATCTAGTAATTGAGTTTTTTGTTCATCTCAGGAAGCGCATTGTGGTCACGATGTTTTTTATGTTTGCGATAATTACGATTCATTCATTAACTAAATTACAATTCATTAAAAAAATGTGTTCAGAAAACGTTGTTCTAGTTACCTGACACATGTTTAGGTATCGGTTCGAAGTTAATGTTAATTAACAGTTTTGTTTCAGGTTAAGCCAATTGTATTAATGATTTTCATTTTTACATAAGGAAAATCGATCCATATTATGTCTACCTCTATATCTTATTTATTTGAGTTGAGTCATCATTTTCTGTCTAAATCTTGTTTCTGTCATTTTTTAGACCACCTTGTCCTCCGGAAAAATGTGAACCACGCCCCCCCATAGTCGCTGTCTTGGGTCATGTGGATCACGGAAAGACAACTTTGTTAGATGCGTTACGCTCCAGTAGAGTTGTTGACGAAGAATTTGGAGGTATAACTCAGCATCTTGGTGCATTTACAGTATCTTTGTCATCTGTTGAACGCAATGCTGGATCTACAGATCCCAATCCCGTATCATTTTCCAAAAGCATCACTTTTTTAGATACTCCAGGCCATGCAGCATTTTCTGGCATTCGTTTTCGAAGTACCAAAGCAACTGATATCATGCTTTTGGTAGTCGCTGCTGATGATGGGGTTAAACCTCAAACTGTTGAGGCGATTCGTTACGCAAAAGAAACAAACAGTAAGTTTTTCCTATAAGTTTGTTTTATTTTATGGAAGGCCCTTAAACGTATTTAGTAATGATAAGTTTCAGTGAGTACAGACGTAATCTGTTTGTTTTGTGTTCTCAATGAGCAGAACATTTTACTAGGTCTTGTCAATGAACTTGCAATTTAGAAGTAATCTGAAAGTAGTATTGGAGTGACCCATTATTCGAAGTAAACTATATCGTAACTATTTCTTATCTTATTTTCTTAGTGAGAGTTGAGACAGATCAGTGTTTACATGTCAAACTTATAAAATGACTCATTGATGTGAAACAATATTGGTAGGCGGTACTACAACATTCTGAGGGGGTTCTTGACTCATACTGACGCGCTAACCTACTGCGCTACTAGGGCGCTGCGAACGCACTGCCTCCAGGGTGAATTGAACTCTCGACCCCTGGTTTGCTAGACCAGTGATCTAACCACTGAGCTATGGAGGCTATGGAGATTTGTGAGGCGCATATTTATCTGGTGCTTCCTTGTACCAATATTTATGTGTTTAAATAAATAAAATAATAATACTTGACTCAAACGTATTGATGATTCTCAAATAGTTGCCAGATGTCTGGAGATTTTGAATCTAATTAGGGAAACCATGAATTCATCGAGTTAGCATACTTTTTTTTCTTGTTAAGTATGACATTTCAATCAAGCAGTCAGTCATCCATAAGTGACGTAGAACGTGGTACATTCATGCATCAGTGCAAGTTGCTACACCACATCAGCTCAGCAAAATGAAATTGTTAGAAAAAATGATAGGGTAGTAGAAGTAATGACAATATTAGTAATGTAAAAAAAGATTACTCATACACACTACGATTTAAGAAGGAAAACTGGATTTACAGAATGAAAAGTAAACAACAATTCTAAGGCCCAGGATATAAGAGAAGACAAAGAGCGAATGTATTTCCACCACTGTGTTCGGTTTTGATCCATGCTTTTCCCATTGTTAGCGGGCTTACCCCAACCAGGTAGACTACGTTTACCGACATGATTCATTTTGACAATCAGTGAATTCATGGACTGATGCCAAGCTCTCCAACCTAATCCCACACTAACCAACATTGTGCGTCAATTTAGGCGCTGGTTAAGCATGCAAGTCATCGGTCATAACCACTTTGTTCAAGAATTCGCTCCTTCAACAGCGAATTAGTCATCTTTACCTAGGACCCTGTGTCTAACCTCAACATTCCTGACTCAGTGGTCCCAACGTGCACTGTTAATGCTTCAAAGACTTCTATAATTAAGCACTAGTAATATACGAATACCGCCCATTTTTCAAGACTACTTTTCACAGCCACTAAGTAAAACAGAACAAACTGCCACAAAATATATTCATCCTTTGGTTGGCAGACGTATATCTCTCTTAAGTCGCCAGTGACACAATTAGTCTTAAGCCAGGCGAACATTCTGAATCCCTGTCGACATTTCGTCAGATACCAACCAGGGCTGATAGAACTTTCTAAATTAGTGAAGTGGCTAATGGTCTTAACTACTTCCCTATCATTAGTTTAGACGTTGACGCAGACTAATTCTAGAGTGACATTTTGTGTTTAAAGAGAGAAATACATCCTAAGCATCTATTTGTTGTTGCTCAAGGCGATCAGGTGACCTCATTTTTACAGCGTTTTCGCCAAACCCGACTATTTCATGTACATATCCTGAGTTAACAATTGAATTTCCTGGTAGTAGGTTAGTCCCCGATAACCACATACTGAAACCTTTATCTCCCGAAGAATGTCTATGAGAAAATTAAATAAAAATGGGGTAAAGTGAGCAGCTCTGATAAACACCACTTGATATAACCAACTCTAAGGGCAGTCCGAACGTATGGTATTTGGATATACATGAAATTTTTGTTAATCTTCAACACAAATGGACTAAGTGTTCCTTAATCAAACTTAATGTCCATCAAGCTAAATTATGTAACTAAGGGTAAAAATATGTATTGCTGGGGAAGTGGTGTACATGAAATGTATTATACACTTGTTTCGTATCTTAAAAGAAATCAGTCTAGTTACGGTCGAATTAACGGGGTAAAATTGTTTCTAATTCTATTCTCTTGCATATTTCACTGTTTCTCGCTTCTTGAACTTAGAATAACTTGCTTGCTTAATACTGTTACCCCTCATGAATCATAGACTCTAGATCAGAAATCCCTAAACAGCTGTCTTTAGCTTTCCTATCCACTTGTTACTATTCATGGTCTTGATGTCTACTTCTCATTCCCGACGTCATGTGTTATTTTGTCTGTTTCTTTTCCTTCTGACTCGGGTATTCTAAATTAGGGCTTACCGTATGATGCAGTTTGATAATTTCCTCAAATTTCGTTTTATTCACTTTTGACGTCTGTTCCTAATTTCCTCCTCATCTAAAAGTTGGATTGTTCTCTGCGATGGTAAGTTATTACCGATAGACTTTGGCTAATTGATCTGGAGTATCTTGCATAGACAGCTGTTTCAACTTCGAACGACAGAACTTTTAATGTTTGTATTGAAAATCCTGACTGTGGTGTTAGGTGACAGTTCTTTGTAGTTCCAGATGTCCTTCAATTGTAGGAACATCACCCTCGTTTTGTCAATACTGACCTCTACATCTTCATCAGATCATCCTTGTTTATCGGTGATCCTACCTAGGTGTCTAAGGGCTTCCATCTTTCCCAGAGCTTCGCCAAAAAATGTTGTTTCGTTGTTGCTTGCGGCATTGTTATTTCAATATCTTGATTCTCCTTTGTGAATGTTGAGGCTTACTTCTGTGCAAGCCCCTGCTATGCCAGCTATCTTATTTTTCATGTGTTGCTGTGTATGGGATACAAGAGTTAAGTCATCTGAAAGATCCAATCGTGCAACTGCGTCCAAGGTGTCTACTACATTCCATGTTTATTCGGAGATGTGGAGATTTTCACAATCCAGTTAGCAACCAGAAGAAAAAGAAAATCCGAGAGTAATCTGCCTTTTTCAATTGGAATCCGTCTGTGGAAAATTTGAAATTCAGTCCCTCTTAAAGTTTTCATATGCTGGTGACAATCTTCCGAGCTACTCTATAGTGTCAAGGAAAATTCCATAGGGTTTTCCTATCCACGTTGTCGAATGTTTCCTCATAATCAAGGGACCTGGCGTATAGCAATGAGTTTCATTCGATTGGTTGATCCACAGTGTCTCGGTTTGGTCCTGATGCTGGGCGCCTCTCTTTCATTCGGTTTAGCAACACTTGTAAACGTTTCCTGACACTGACAGTACTGTGATTCTTCCGTAGTTCTTACACTTATTAAAATCTCTCTCCTTCAATATCTTGACGAGGCATTTCTCTTTCTAGTCTGTTGATTCTTGCTCGTCCTTCCAAATTTCTACTAAAGAACATGGAGCATCTTTGCAGTTACTCTTACATCTGACTTCCATATCTCGGCTGGTATACTATCTAGTCCTGTTGGTTTGCCACTTAATTTGTCTGATTTCTTCGGCTATTGTTGTTGTAACATTTGTATAAAGGTCGCTGTGTGTGGTATCGATGTGTGATGGGCCCAGTGAGGCTGGTCTATTCAAGAGCCCTCCAAAGTGTTCCACCCACCTGTTTCGTTGATCTTGACCTCCAGGGATTTATCTACCTTCGTTCTTGACTGGTTAGTCTGGTCTACCATATTTTCATGCTAGTTTCTTATTTGTATCATATAATTTTCTCATATTTCCTTCAATTGCAGCTTCTGCTGTCATTGCTAGGTCTTCCACATACTTCTGCTTATCACATCTAATGCTTCTTCTTCACTCGTTTGTTTGATTCTTTATATTCGTTCTGTGTTTTGAGTTTCTTTGCTCTTGTTTCGTTGCTATTGTTGGTTATTCTCTTATCGTTCTTCCTTTCCTGAAACTTGTCCAGGGTATCAACAGAAATCCATTGTTTATTCTGGCACTTCTTCGAACCCAACATATGGCATGTGGAAACTATTGCTTCTGTAATCTCTCCCCAGTTTCTCTCCATAGTGTCCTCCCTTCTAGTAGATCTTGTAAGGGTTGGGACTTGTTGTTGAGAGCTATTTTGAACTCCCTGAGTTGGTCAGCATCTCTTAGGAAGGGTGTGTTAAACTCTTGTCGCTCTCTTTGTCTAATTGTCCAGTGTTTCTTTAACTTCCGTTTTAGCTCAGCCACAACCAGATGATAAGCTGAAGCGGTATCAGCTCGCCTCTTTGTTTTTATTTCTTCCATGTACCTTCTAAATTTTTTGTTTATGCAGCAATGGTTGATCTGGTTTTCTGTGGTGTAATTTAGTGGAGCCCATATAGTTATGTTTATGTATTTGTGGGGAAAGTGGTACCACCTATTATCATATTAAAAACACGAAGATCTACTAGCCTCTCATCTTTCTCGTCCCTTACTCCTGGTCCATGTTGCCTTGTGATGTCTTCGTACCCGTTGTTGTCCACCCCGACTTTGACCAGGTATTTCCCAGGGGAGTTGTCTATGATGGACTGCGGCCTACCTCATTAGCACAACAAGATGAACATCGAATTATATGGTGGTAATATATAAAATTGAGATTTCATATAAGGATATAGTACAGAAAGAAAGACAGATATGAAGCAATTTTAATCTCATAGTTTAAAGGAAGACGGGGAGTGTATACACCTACACTATTGTGATCGATTCTGAGCCATATCACCCAGTCTCCAACCATTAGTTATGATATTCACGCGGACCCCAACCAAGTAGTCTGAATCTACCAACGTGGCTCAGACTAGAAGTTAGTGACTTCAAGAGCTGATGCCACGTTTTGGTTTGACCGCCCCTAACTCTTCCAACCATTCCCTATACTAGTCAACATTACGTGTCGTGGTAATTGGTGTTCAGGCATACTTAACACGTGGCCCAACCATCTCAGTCGATGAAGATTCACAACTTCATCAACTTATTTACCAAAATTCTCTAACATCCTGCGTTTAACCTCACTACTACTTTGCCAGTGATCCCAGCAGATGCGAGCAAAATTTCCAATTCATATGTGGTCAAATACCAATAGCTTACGAGTATCTTCTACGCTTAATGGTCACGTTTCGTAGCCGTAAAGTAGAACAGCCTAAACGGCTGCACTTACTTTCGCCTGTTACTCCCAATGGAGCATAGGCCGCCGACCAGCTTTCTCCAACCCACTCTGTCCTGGGCATTCTTTCCTAGTTCTATCCAGTTCTTGTTCATTCTTCTCATGTCTGTCTCTATTTCTCGACGTAATGTGTTCTTTGGTCTTCCTCTTCTCCTTTGACCTTCAGGATTCCATGTGAGGGCTTGTCTTGTGACACAATTGGGTGATTTCCTCAAAGTGTGTCCAATCCACTTCCAGCGCTTCCTCCTGATTTCTTCCTCCGCTGGAATCTGATTTGTTGTCTCCCACAGTAACTTGTTGCTGATAGTATCTGGCCATCGGACCCGAAGTATCTTGCGTAGACAGCTGTTAATAAACACTTGTATTTTCTGGATAATGGCTTTCGTAGTTCTCCACGTCTCCGCCCCATACAGTAGAATTGTCTTCACATTTGTATTGAAAATTCTAACCTTGGTGTTGGTTGACAATTGTTTTGAGCTCCAGATGTTTTTCAGCTGTAAATATGCTGCTCTTGCTTTGCCGATCCGCGCCCTCACATCTGCATCAGATCCACCGTGTTCATCAATGATGCTGCCCAGATATGTAAAGGTTTCCACATCTTCCAAAGCTTCTCCGTCAAGTGTAATTTGGTTGGTGCATATTGTATTGTATCGGAGAGTCTTGCTTTTCCCTTTGTTTATATTGAGACCTACTGTAGCTGAGGCTGCTGCTACACTGGTCGTTTTCTCCTGCATTTGTTGTTGCGTTTGTGATAGAAGAGCCAGATCATCCACGAAGTCTAGATCGTCAAGCTGCATCCTGCCTGTCTACTGTATCCCGTGCATTCCTCCAGATGTTGACGTCTTCATGATCCAGTCGATGACCAGGAGAAAGAGAAAGGGTGAGATTCAGCAACCTTGCCTAACACCGGTCTTTACCTCGAACGAGTCGGTGAGTTGTCCTCCGTGGACGATTTGGCAGTTTAGTCCATCATAGGAGTTCCGTATGATATTGACTATATTCTCAGGCACGCCGTAGTGTCGAAGAAGCCTCCATAGTGTCGTCCTGTCCACGCTATCAAATGCCTTCTCGTAGTCGATGAAGTTGATGTATAGTGATGAATTCCATTCGATTGATTGTTCCACAATGATACGTAGAGTTGCGATTTGATCTGTGCACGATCTATCCTTACGAAATCCAGCTTGTTGATCTCGAAGTTGGGTGTCCACGGAATCCTTCATCCTGTTTAACAATACTCTGTTGAAGACTTTCCCTGGTATTGAGAGGAGAGTGATGCCCCTGTAGTTGTCGCACTTGCTGAGATCGCCTTTCTTTGGTATCTTGATCGGAAGTCCTTTTTTCCAGTCTGTTGGTACATGTTCTTCGTTCCAAATCTTACTGAAGAGGATGTGTATTATCTTGGCAGTTGCTGCTACATTTGCTTTCAGTGCCTCCGCCGGGATGTTGTCTGGTCCCGCTGCTTTGCCGCTCTTGATTTGTCTAATGGCCATGCTGATCTCTTCAATTGTTGGTGGGCCAACATCGATTGGGAGGTCCGTGGGTGCTGCTTCGATGTTGGGTGTGTTCAGTGGAGCTGGTCGATTCAAGAGTTCTTTGAAGTGTTCTACCCACCTGTTTCGTTGTTCTTCAATGTCGGTGATTACTTTGCCTTCCTTGCTTTTCACTGGTCTTTCTGGCTTACGGTAATTCCCATCAAGTTTCTTTGTCGTGTCATACAGTTGTCTCATGTTTCCCTCTCTTGCAGCCTTTTCCGCTGTCATTGCTAAATCTTCCACATATTTACGTTTGTCGGTTCTGATGCTCCTCTTCACTTGCTTGTTTGCCTCTGTGTATTCGGCTTGTGCCTTGGCTTTTTGCACTCTTGTTCGGCTGATATTGATTGCTACCTTCTTGTTCCTCCTTGCTTCAATTTTATCCAGTGTACCAACAGTGATCCATTCCTTGTGATGGTGCTTCTTTTGGCCCAGAACCTCTTGACACGTTGAAACGATTGCCTCCTTGATACCTTTCCAGCTGCTCTCTATGGTGGTTCCCTCTCCATTGAGTAGATCATGAAAGGCCTGGAACCTGTTGCTGAGGGCTATGTTGAATTTGTTGAGTTTGTCAGCATCTCAAAGAAAGGCCGTATTAAACTTTTGTGATGTTGTCCGCACCGTTGTCCACTGCTTCTTTAGTTTTAGTTTCATCTTGGCGACCAGCAAATGATGATCGGATGCTATATCAGCTCCTCTTCTGGTTCTCACATCCTCCATCGTCCTCCTGAACGTTTTGTTGATGCAGATATGGTCGATTTGATTCTGTGTAGTATGATCCGGTTAAATCCAAGTGGCTTTGTGTATGTTTTTGTGTGGGAATATGGTGCCACCTATGACCAGTTTATTGAAGGCACATAGGTTTGCAAATCTCTTACCATTTTCGTTCCTTTCTCCCAGTCCATGTCGTCCCATGACGTCTTCGTATCCAGTGTTGTCCTTTCCAACCTTAGCATTGAAATCTCCCATCAGAATTGTCAGGTCCTTGGTTGGGCACTTCTCGAAGATTGACTGCAGCCTATCGTAGAATTGGTTTTTAGCGTCTTCATCGTAGTCGTTGGTCGGCGCATAGCATTGGATGATGTTCATTGTAATGCCCTCTCTCTTTGTTCTGAAGGAGGTTTTGATGATCCTTGGTCCATGAGATTCCCATCCTATAAGTGCATTTTGTGCTTTTCTGGACAGCATCAGTGCCACTCCTTGTGTATGTGGGGCATTTTCTTCTTCATGACCGGAGTATAACAGAAGTTCCCCTGAAGACAGTTGTTGTTGTCCAACCTGCGTCCAATGTGTTTCACTGATTCCAAGCACTTCCAGGTTGTATTTCCTCATTTCTGCAGCAATTTGGAAGGCACTGCCGGTCTCCCACATTGTCCGGACATTCCATGTACCTATAAAAATTGTCGCTCTGGTTGTAAGAAGGTGCATCGGCCTCATGACTTCCGAAGGTACTCGGCTTTCATCATGAGACGTCATTATTCCTTCTACCCCCAGGGCAGAGTTTGAATGGTTTGAATGATTTTTTCTGGTTAGCGTTTTTTTAGCGAGTTGATTTTCTACGGGATGGGGTCGCTAACCCCATACCCAACCCTCCTCCTTTACCCGGGCTTGGGACCGGCAGTAGCCCCTGGAGGAGCTACAGGCGGAGTTTGTTTTTCAAGGAATAGAATATATAATCCCATGTCCAACCCTCTTCGTCTATCTAGGTTTGGGACCGACGGTAACCTTACATGCACACCATGTCAAGCCTTAAATTATTTATTCAATATTAATCAATGTAAGTTTGAGTCATGCTCTAGGGATGTTAGAGATAATGGTACTGTCATGTAATCCTAACCATTGTTAATAAAAGATTGTAAGCTCATTTCTACCAAGATTAAGTTCGGCTTTCAAATACTATTCAATAGATTATCAACTCAATTTGTAAATCGCATATTATTTTAGATTATGATGAATTTTAATTGAAACAATCTAAATGGATATTATGTATATTATCGTTTTAGCTCCTATAGTTGTCGCAATCAATAAAATTGATAAACACGATATCAATATGGTAAGCAAAAATTCATTCTGTTTTCAAGCACTGAATAATAATAATAAAACTTTTATTTACGTCTCATAAAATTATAGTAGGTTTGGTTGTTTTAATGACCAAATTTTTCAACCAATCGATTGTAGATAGCATGGAACCTGACACAAGTATAGGTTATTCCTAGTTACAGCACTCCACATAAGCTTATCGGCAAACAAGATGAAACTCAGCGGAATATCAATCATAATTCAAAAAATTATGTAGAGTATCTACTGAGTAAGAGCAAACAACCGAGGTTCGTGAATCAATTTTACGAATCATATTGTTGACGAGAGAATAAAGCTAATTTGCTTTGAAATAGTAAGTGAATCTAATAAATAGTTTAATTAAAAACATAGAATTTGAAAAAGCAGATTAATAACATTTGTAAATCCAAATTCACTTAGTACTGTTTGTTTGAATCTTCTCATTAATGTTTAGGACCGAAATTGACCAATCTCTTATTGGCATATGTGCCTACTGTGAGTATTGCCTCGATATACCCTTAATTCACAAGCATTATAAGCAAAGATGGATTGTGGCTAATAGTGGATTCTAGGAGGCGCGTTTCATCCTATTCGGGACTCGTCAGCTGGATGTACTGTTGCATTCGTAGTCGTATTACCTTTAGAAACAGTGCAGGAAACAATATTAAACTCTCCATCGGAAGCACTGTGTGTTGGTATCGTCGTTGGTGAACTGAGGGTCTTCCAATATTCTTCTAAGTTTCTGAGCTGATAAGAGTAATGTCAGATGCTGTATCGAGTTGAAGACGAATACGGTGTTTAATAATAACGACCTCAGTTTTATATCTTCTTCGGCGTAAACTCCTTTTCGGTTATGAACTACCGATATTTAGTTATCTCACGAGGTCTGTATTCCTTGAAATATGGTCTCGATGGATGATGTCGATGGGTTCTTTTTCTGCAGTTGGCTTCTTTATGACCTTTATGGTGACATTTAGCGCAACGATAGTCAGTCAGTCAGCTACAACGTAGGACCAGGCACATATATGCATCGGTCCAAGTTGCCATACCTCTTTAGCACATCAAGATGAACACCGGATTCATAGAAGCAATTAATTTAGTGGTGGTAGTATATAAAGAAAGATTGTATAGAAGGATATAGTATAGGAAGAAAAAAAGTTATGAAGCAATTTTAATCTCAAGGTTTAAGGGAAGATAAAGAGTGTATACACCTACGCCATTGCGATCGATTCTGAGCCATGTCACCTAGAGTCTCCAACCATTTATTACGATAGTCACGCGGACCCCAACCAGGTAGTCTGCATCTGCCAACATGGCTCAGGCTAGAAGTTAGTGACTTCAAACACTGATGCCATGTTTTGGTTTGGCCGCCCCTAACTCTCTTCCAACCGTCCCCAATACTAGTCATCATAGCGCGTCGTGGTAATCGGTGTTCAGGCATACGTAACACATGGCCCAACCATCTCAGTCGATGAAGATTCATGACCTCATCAACTGATTTACCATCGTTACCTAATACCCTGCGTCTAACCTCACTATTACTTACTCGGTGATCCCAGCAGATGCGAGCAATATTTCTAAGGCATCTGTGGTCAAATATTAGTAACCTACGAGTATCTTCTACTCTTAATGGCCATGTTTCGCAGCCGTAAAGTAGAACAGAACGAACTGCTGCGCAGTATACTCGTCCCTTAATTGATAGACGGATATCTCGTCTTCGCCATAGGTGACGTAAGTTGGCAAAAGCCAAACGAGCTTTTTGAATCCGTGCTGAGATTTCGTCAGACACCAACCCATTAGGGCTGATCAGACTTCCAAGATAAGTGAAGTTGTCGACGCATTCGACTACTTCACTCCCTATCCTTAGTTCATGTGTTGACGCAGGCCAGTCCTGGAGTAACAATTTACATTTGGATGGGGAGAAACGCATCCCAAACATCCTGGCATTATTACTCAGTTCCAACAGAAGACTCTGCATTTTGTCAGCGTCTTCACCAAACAGGACTATGTCATCTGCGTATTCTAAGTCGCTTAGTGGTCCCCCTGGTAGGAGATCAATTCCTGTAAACTCAGTCGACGAGAGTGTCATTTGCAGCAACAGGTCTATAATGAAGTTAAACAAAAAGGGGGATAGTGGACAGCCTTGACGGACACCACTTGAGGTTGTAAAATCATATGACAGTTCGCCATAAGCTCTCACTCGACTGATAGTGTTCGAGTAAAGAGCCTTCACAAGGTTTATGTACTTCTCAGGTACACCTTTCAATGACAGACACTGCCACAGAACCTCTCGGTCTACAGAGTCAAATGCTGCTTTCAAGTCAAGAAAAACTATCATTGTCGGACGCCGATAAGCATGTCTGTGCTCTAAAACTTGACGAATGGTGAATATGTGGTCGATACAGCCACGACCAGGTCTGAAGCCAGTCTGATTTTCTCGTGTTTGCAGTTCACGAGTTTTAGTTAGGCGCCTGATAATTATTGAGGCTAGTATTTTAGATACTATGTTAGTCAGACTAATCCCTCTATGGTTATCGCAGGATGATTTTGACCCCTTTTTATATATTGGGACAATCAGTGATTGTGACCAGTCGGATGGGATTACATCCGTCTCCCAGATTTTAGCCAGAATATTAGTCAACCTAATCGCTAAAATTGGACCACCATATTTAAAGACCTCTAGAGCCAATCCATCAGGACCAGCTGCTCTTCCTCGTTTCAGATTACCTATAGCCTTTTGAACTTCAAGTAGGGTCGGGGGGCCTACTTCAATGTTCCATTCAGGTTTTCTAGGAATAGTGGGTAGTTGTGCAGTAGCTGAAGGCCAGCTAAACTGCTCCTTAAAGTGTTCCGCCCATCGTTCTAAACGTTTGGGTAGAGAGCAGATAAGGGTTCCATCTTTTTCCGAGATCGTCTCACTTACACTTGACTTCTTAATTCCAGTTTCTTTTATTAGTCTGAATAGTTGCCTGGTGTTGCCTACAGCCGCTGCCTTTTCCATCTCTTTTGCTTTCGTTGCCCACCACTGCTCACGATCGTTCCTTAGACTTTTAGTAGCGCAACGATAATCTTTATGTGGACATTAATTATTGTAATACCAACTTCCCCATGACCAGCATGGAGATGAAGGCTGGTTGTCTATGCGGTATGGTTTTTGAAGGCTGTAACCTTTCTTTTCGCTTACAGCATGGATGTACAGAGGCTATTGCTTTCAACTATGGAGGTATCATGTTTCAAGTTTACCGATTCCTGGTATTCTGTGGTTACTTTTTGCAGTGTTCTGTTTGGACATTGTTCAATTTTACATAAAATTCTGTTTCTGACATCAGCATCTTCAGGAGATTAAAGGCTGCACACAAACATAAAACTCTTAAACTGATCTTCTTTCACTGCCGATTGTTTAAACTACTTGCATTTGCGATTAATTAAACCTACACGTCTCACCCAGTCATCACCGGCTTCTGTTATCTTGAGGTACTGATAACGGGTATAAAACACAGATAACTGTTCAGCAAAGGTTTGCGATAGAATATCAATCTCTTGGGTTTTTGAAAGGATGAGATTACTGTAACGAGGTAACATTTTACTCAGCCAGTCAAATCCAACTTAGAACCTGACACATATACACGTCAGTTCAAGTTTCCGTGCCGTATTAGCATAGCAAGGTGAAATTCTTATAGCAAATTCCAGTTTAGTGGAGGAAGTAACAGGATTAGAGGTAATAGAATAGATTAAACACCCAAGATACTATTCAACAAGAAAACATACATTGGTGAAATAATAGAAAGAAGTTTATGGGGAATTTAGAAACTTGGGACCTGAGGGAAGAGAAAGAGCGAATACACCTGCACCATTGCCAAGGATTTTGAGTCATGTCATTCACATTCTCTAACAGTTGTTTATGATAGTCACACGGACGCCAACCAGGTAGTTTGCACCTGCACCTACCAACAAAGCTCAGTTCAAAGGTCAGTGTTTTCATGGATTAGTGCAATGATTTAGTTTGGTCGCATATAGATTTATCCCAATACACCTGCATTGGGTCTTATTAAGTATTGAGTTGTTTGGCGGATGGGCAAACGTAATATATGTCCCGATATTCTCAGCCAGCAAAGGTTTATTACCTTATAAGTTACTTTCTGGTACTCACCTAGTACTGTGCATACAACGTGAGGATCGTCAACTTAGTGGTCCCAGCGTACACTAGAAATGCCTCGAAGGTACCTAATATCAAGCACTAGTGACCTGCAAATATCCTTGATTTTAAGAGGTCGCGTTTCACGTCCATAAAGAACGGAGCGAACTGTTGCCCAGTAAAGGCACGTACGCCAAAAATAGTGTCACCAACCGGGCCACTTGAACACGTGATGAGACTTTGCCAGACACCAACTTATAAGGGTTGATAAGACTTCCAAGCTAAGTTGAGGCCTTGACGCATACCGATTTTGAGGCAGCATTTGACACCTAGATGGACAGAAACATACTATACGCGTGCTTGCACTGTCCCTCTAGGTGGTCATAAGACTGCATTATTTCAGCGTCTTCACTGAACAGTACCAAGTAATCTGTTCACCACCGTTAGCCGATTGGTGATGCAGGTATGAGTCCACCTGAAACTGTTTTCGAGGTAAAAAATAAGTTCTAAGATATCAGATAGCTGCATAAGCCATCGTAAATCAAGGATATCATAACCTCAAAGAGTACTGGCAGAAATACTACCGACAGTTGGATTGAAGGTTCATTACCACGGCCACCTCTGAAAATCAATGTTATGTATTTTGGCTTCCAACTATCAGGAATCACGTCCTTGTTTAACGAATGTGATAAAACTACATCCAAAAGTGTTCCCAAGATTCATGGCGTTTCTTTTAGTATAGTAGATTGGACCATGTCGGATCATTGGATTCTATTTAAATCCTCCTGCTTCTGGAACACTAGCCCCACGCTTAAGTTGGTTTTGAGACTCCCGATGGGTTTGAAGTGGAGCCCTCCTCGATATAGATAGGACGAGACGATTAAAATGTTTCAAAATACTAAGTGGTATCAACATTTTTGTTTTTTTGAGGCATGAGGACTTGACAAATGTTATTGTTAACACACAGTAGTAACTGAAATACACTGAAGCTTCGCTATAAAGACTCAGGATAAAAATGCTTAGCATGAGAGTATTGTAACGGAAACAAAGTACATACGGAAAACATGAGAACGAGATAGCCTTGAGCAACCCTTCAGGGGTATCATCCACTGTTAGAGGTTGTTGAGCACTTGAAGGTCAAATGTCACAAAATGATTGGTGCGTCACCCCGAAAATTCGTAAGGTTTTGCAGAAGCGGTAGACTTGATTTGAGTTCATCCACACTATGTCTTATAAAGTCCATCCTTGAAGTAGCAAAAGTGGTTCCGTCTTAATGATGCGTGATATAGGGTTGTAGCTGTAAATAAATCCCCAAAATCAATAGCTATGCAAGTGTTCGACATTGGGTGCTGACCACGTTGTATAAGTGGACTTGTTTAACTGAAGGCTTTCGGTCATGCATCTCCGCCAGATCACGGTTTGGAACAGCGTGCTCAACGTCTCCTGCGACAACTAGCCAGATTAGATCAGTCACTCCTCGATATACTGATAATCTAATCAAATATATCTTCCAACCTCCTCGCTTCTGACTTGATTTTACTGGGTGAGCGCGATTCAATTATAGAAGGTGTTACTGGTGAAGTGTTGTCAAACCAGAATATCTGTGGTATCTTGAGGGTGAATCTTGAATAATGTTATGTTGTGATGGCGATTTACAAGCTGGGTAAATTTAGTCTTCAGTAATTAGTTCAGGTTTTGTAGCATACCAGTTTTGAGCTAGCATTTGACACCTAGATGGATGGAAACGTACTATACGCGTGCTTGCACTGTCCCTCTAGGTGGTCATAAGTCTGTATGAACAGACCAATGTTGATTAGATATTTTGTATGCGTTTTTTGTGCTTCCAATAAGATTGCAACAATAAGTAAATGACAATCTGTACGATTAAGCGATATACATATTCACGTCATTACTGTTGACCCACATAGTGTCTAGTTTTAAATCCAATCTAACGTAACTTGTAAAGTGATAGATTCAACCTGTAGTTCACATGGATGCTTAATGTTGTTCACTTCTCTGCGCTAGATAGTTTATTATCGACCTTTTCATTGTTGTTATGGTCATCATCAGAATATACTTCGTATAGAAGTAAGCTTTTTGTTATTCCGCAACCATTAATCTAGTTCGTTTTGGTGATTTCGTTGTCTTCATTTATTCCTGTATTCAAGTTTAATGTCTTGTTCGACTAACCTCTAACTAGAGTTTCTTTAGCTTGTTGTATGTGTTTTTATGTATTGTTGGTAGATCTAAATAAAGGTAAAACTGCAAAATGTGAAATTAGACTTTATGCTAACATTTACGTAATCATCGAATGGTATGCCAGCCAAAAAACACTAACTTCGAATTTTTTTATATATTAGGATAAAGTAGTCCAAGGTCTAGCTACTTATGAAGTTTTAACTGAACAATTGGGTGGTGATATACAAGCAGTTCCAATATCAGCATTAAAACGAATGAATCTTTCTGAATTATTAGACGCTATTATTCTCCAAGCTGAACTAATGGAGTTGAAAGCAGATCATACTGGATTGGCTGAAGGTGTTGTTTTAGAATCGGAAACACTTCATGGGATTGGGTAATTATCAGTTACTCATTTAATTTCCGTATTTGTGCACGTGTTTATGTGTTTAAGATCACTTATTATTTAATTATTTATTTAAGCACATAAATATTGGTACAATGAAGCACCAGATAAATATGCGCCTCACAAATCTCATTCGATTTGTGTGAGGGCTGTGATACTGCCCAGGTGCCCAGACTGAAGCAGGTGGTTTTCTTAGGGGGCCACACCCGGAGCCTTTGACCTGAATGTCTGATCCACAAGCAGTGGAGCATCGTGAGGAGATGCAGTCCCATGGTAGCCGGTGATCAACGGTTGATTCGTACGCCATTTGTTCCCTCAGGATACTGGAGCCCATGTGCACCATTGGTTTGGAATCAGGGTTTTCCAACTCCCCTAGGTGAACTTTCCATGTCCATCAACCCGGTTAAAGCGCCGGACATTCGCTTTTCGTCCTCTCACTTTCGTAAACAACACCCCCGCCACGAGAAGGCAGTGAGTAGGACTTCCCTGGCAGAGGCTGTATACGCGTGGCTGTATGAGAGCATTTCGAGAGGGAGAGGTGACTCTTCCCACTCTCGGCCGTACCAGGGCATTTGGGGTTTTTTGAGTTCAAAAGCAAATGTCATAGGCTTACCTATTACAGGGACTATAATACGTATTACATACCTGTATTTGGAAGTGTGCCGAAGACAAGTAATATTACTAGTGTAGATATTAGTTTGTACTTTATAGTCTGATTTGGAACTTGGTGTTTATGGGCTCGATTTTGTGTAGACTTGTGCCTATCCACTGTTGAAATATCTCGTACTGAAAAGAAACAGCTGTCTGCTGCTCCCTGATGTTCATCGATACTTCAAATTATATCAGTTTGGGTGAAAACCATCTTCAAAGTATTTGAAAATTAGCACAAAATCATTTTATCGTATGTACCTTTGTTAGGTGCAAAGGTGTTTTCAATCATAGACTAACATTTTTCTAATTTCCTTCTTCCTATAACGTGACGTGTCGTTTTTTCTTCTGATTTCAGTCACAATCAGTAGTTTGTGGTCTAAGATAATCTAAAGGAACGAAGTTCTTTAAATTATGTAATTTCCACCTATTATTGAGTTCTTTCTAATCAACAGATACTAAAACCCTTCTCTTATAGAAAAACGGCTACCTGTCTTATCACTCGAGGTGTTTTGCGTAAATCACCCAATAGTGGTCCACTTATAGCTGGTGAAGCAGTCTGTACCCCGCGAATCTTGCTAACCGATACAGGAAAACCTGTGGATTCAGTTAACCCCGGATTTGTAGCCCGAGTAGCCGGTTGGAAAGATCTCCCCTGTGCAGGAGATCTTATCCTAGAGCTAGAATCTACGGTAAGTTTTTTACTTCTTGCTTTTTTATATGACTTGTAGGCCATTCTTTATTTCCATTGGATGGGATTATGGAGATTCGATGAGGTTGAGGATGATTTTCATTGCAAACTGATGTTAATATCAGAGTTGTTCATTTCAAACATGTTTCCATACGACTTCTGAATAATACAGTTTTGATCAGTTATCTTGATTGTTAAATAGCTGAATGAAAACTAATTGATTAATGCCATGTTCATGACTAATGTTTGCTTAAGAGATGGACTTGTCGGGATTACTGACATTCCCCTCGCTGAAGAACAGCTAAACGGTTGATTACATAGATATATCTTCATCCTACTTATTTTTCTGCTATATTAAGTGTGTGACTTGATGAATACGATTAAACATTGTATATCAGATGATGTATTGATACAATGCATAATACACAATATAGTATCCGCAGATTATTAATAATGCATCAAAATTAGTTCTCTCCCTGCCGTTTAGTGTGAAATTTCTTGAAATATTCATGGAATGCCATTATTTAGTAACATAAAAAGTACAGATCATAATACCATTCGAATTTGATATATATACTATAAACATCTTTCTCAATTTTCAGCCATTAAAACATGGGAAATGTAGTAATTATTATGACTAGGCGTCTATAAATTATTGGCTTTTTAAATACATTTCATTTTAATGCGATTCTTTATTTGGGATTTAGTAATTCCTCGCAGTTATCGAAAGTATCGACTTTTTGTCCAATATGTGTATCTCATTGATTTGACACTAGTCCCTATAAGATACTTTTCATTTTTTCATATGAATAACTTGTAATGCATTACATATACATTATCTGAAATTTTTTGTTGAATAATTAGACTGTAAGTTTTGTTGCCTTTTTCGTTTTCACGAATCATTTTAGAAGCGAGCGAATGAAGTTCAGCGATATCGACGGTGTATAAAAATACAAGACAAAGTTAAAGAAGACCGTGATGCATATGATCTTCGAGCGTCTCATCATCGAGAACATCGAGAGAAATACGCAGAAAAATGTTTGAGCCTTCATCGTCGTCAGTGGCGTAAACTTAAAGTATGTCTATCACCTATTCGTGTACAGTCTATCAATTTCAACTTACCACAAGTGGGAATATTAATATAACTGAAATCTCTTCGTTCCTCCTAAATGTTTCGCTTTATCTAAGCATTATCATGTAGAACAGTATATTTGAATTAGGTATTTTTTTCCTGATATGTACATAGGATTGAGCTGTACTATTCAGACTGTAGCGTTGAAGCCCATATAGTGTCTGGTTTTCTTGTGGAGCGGGATTGAGCTGTGGTTAAGCCTGAGGGCGGCTTTACGCTCTCCTGTTAAAAGAGATTGAACTGTAATATTTGGGTTGTCACGTGAAAGTCTGGATAGTGTCTGGTTCTCCTGAATACTAATGCGAAATTACCCTGGCCCACAAGGGTATATTATATAACTGTGAACAAACTGGTTGATCCTGCCAGTAGTCACATGCTTGTCTCAGAGATTAAGCCATGCATGTCTAAGTACATACCTTAAAAAGGTGAAACCGCGAATCGCTCATTAAATCAGCTATGATTCCTTAGATCGTAAATGCTATATGGATAACTGTAGTGATTTTAAAGCTAATACATGCCTGACTCGCAAGGGGACGGGTGCATTTATTAGAACAGAACCAATCGGGTGCGGCTTCGGTTGCGTCTGTTACATTCTGTGATGACTCTGGATAACTTTACTGATCGCAGTCGGCCTTGTGTTGGCGACGGATCTTTCAAATATCTGCCCTACCAATTTGTTGGTAGGTGATATGCCTACCATGATAATAACGGGTAACAGGGAATCAGGGTTCCATTCCGGAGAGGGAGCCTGAAAAATGACCACCCCATCCAAGGACGACATCAGGCGCGAAAATTACGTACTCCTGGCAAGGGGAGGTAGCAACGAAAAATACGTATATGAGACTCAATTGAGGCTCCGTAATTCGAATGAGTGCAATTTAAGTCCTTTAACGAGGACCAATTGGAGGCCAAGTCTGGTACCAGCAGCCGCGATAACTCCAGCTCCAAAAACGTATATTAAAGTTGCTGCAGTTAAAAAGCTCGTAGTTGGATCTGGGTCGTGTGGCTGTATGCCATTCTTCGTTCACGGTTTTGATTACAATCAGGACCAGAGTTCAGCTCGGTGAAGTGGCTGTGCAGCCTTTCAGCCGTGTCTGTGTTAAACGGGTGTCGGGAGCGGACGGCATCTTTACTTTGAGCGAATTTGAGTGCTCAAAGCAGGTCTGTGTGTCTGAAAATTTTTACGTGGAATGATGAAATAGGACTTCGGTTCTATTTTGTTGGTTTTCGGATGCGAAGTAATGGTTAAGAGGGACAGACGGGAGCATTTGTATGGCGATGTTACTGGTGAAATTGTGGGATCGCCGCCAGACAAACAACAGCGAAAGCATTTGCCAAAAATGTTTTCATTGATCAGGAGCGAAATTCAGATTTTTGAAAACGATCAGATACCGTCGTAGTTCTGACCATAAACGATGCCAACTGACGATCCGCGTTGGTTCTATAATTAACATCGCAGGCAGTTCCTGGGAAACCTTTAAGTCTTTGGGCTCCGGGGGGAGTATGGTTGCAAAGCTGGAACTTTAAGGAATTGACGGAAGGGAACCACCAGGAGTGGAGCCTGCGGTCTAACTCGACTCAACACAGGTGAACCTGTGGAAAGATCATTAACATGACCCAAAATATTTAATGAAGCATACACCTGGCTTCGTGTTGGACTGCATGTATCCTGGCTTAGTGGTATTTGCCCTAGGCTTCAGTGGTCAATGGTTGTACATACAAAAACTAAGAACTGGACAATTATTCAAGTTATTTGGACGTTGTTTATTATGTTTAATATTTAGTCAAAGCTAAAGGTATACAAGTTCAGGTCATAAATTTACCGTAGTTACTAAATCTTCATTTTATTTCAGTGCAGATTATTACTAGGTTCGCTCATATTTATACCTTCATATTTTTCGTTATGATAAGTATTGTTAATTGAATGCTGTACTCGGATCTTAAGCTAGTCTCGTAACCCCTAAGGTAGAACTACACAGCGACTTGAACACGAGAGAAAAGGCGCAAAATATGCGAAAGGCACTTTGCTCCAAAGGTTCATTTATGTACAGAAAATATAGGGTTTTTATAGTATTTTAGAAGTCTTTGGGTTTTCCTGAAAGTTCTAGTATGCTACTAAAAATAGTCCCGACCGTAGCTGCAACCTTGACGTGGTGGTCGGGCTTGCCTATCCTGATGATCCAACCGATCTATATTGGCTGGAACATGTTTCCCTGTAGGTTCTACCATGCTAGGCAGGTCGATTGGAGAACGGTAAGACTAAAAGCAGCAACTCGAGGTCTGAGGGTGAAGTCGCACTGCTGACTGTAGAGGGGTGTGACAGCAGTAAGGTGTTTCCGTCGGACAACCAGCATCTGCAGCGATGCTGCCTTCTCACGAGGAAGGAAGAGGTTAGAAAAGGTCCTAAAATATCACGCCTCATCTCACCTCACAGATTTCCGTCTACAGCGGTAAGGCCCTTTAAAGAACGGAGCTAACACGTCTCTAAAACGCGCAAACAGGATCCGAGTAGCGTCATTCATTTGACCATGTCACCATGTCAAAATAAAGAACCAACTTGATTCACATTTCGTGTATCTGGAAGCCTTGATGCTTCTTCCCGTGGCCTCGCTGGCGTAGGTATAGTATTGAGTCGTTAGGCAGAACTAGCTCTTTTAGACTGGATCCCAGTAGACAGTCGTCTATGCGCTGTCCGACTAAACGGAACAGTAAGTACTCGGAAAGACAGGGAAACTCGTCGTTGCCTCTTCGTCGTCTCTGCCTACTCTCCCACTGACTGCAGCTCAGATGATGTAAAAGATGAGTTTTACAGAAACCTTTCCGACCTTCTCCGTAAAGCTAGGCGCTCTGATATAGTAGTAGTGGCTGATGACCGTAATACTCAAGTAGGTAAACTAAGCGAAAGAGTAAGACACCTGGGTGGGTCTTATGATGTCGTGGCCCGAAGAAACGATAATGACGACCGTCTGTTCCAGCTACTTTAAGGACAAGGTAAAACATCTTTTAACATGGCGACCAATGAATACGTCCCAACGTTGGACCCAACTAGATCACATCGCTATCAGCCACCGATGGAGGGGCTCGATAGAAGACTGTCGCTCATTCTGGAACATATGTTTAGATTCAGTTCATGTTTTAGTGCGAGCACGTATCTGTATGCGTCTTACTGGACGTATGAAAGACATTGCAAGGAAACCTCTTAGGGTTCTACTAAATGATAGACAAGCTAAAAATATATTTCAGGAACAACTGGAAAAACAGTTAGGCAGACATGTAATTTGTGCCCACCACGAGGCAGCGTGGAACCAGCGGTGATATCCGCTAGTAAGGTAAACCATAAGGTTAGGGTGAAACAATGGATCTCAGCAGCATCTATCGCACTGATAGACGCTCGAAAACTCATCCCATCTGGCTCTGAACATAACGAAGAGCGGAGTCAGCTTAAGCGCAGGCTTATAAGAAGCCTACGTAATGATCGTGAACAGTGATGGGTAGCGAAAGCAAGAGAGATGGAAAAGGCAGCGGCAATAGGTAACAGTAGGCAGCTATTCAGACTCGTTAAAGAAACCGGTATTAGGAACCCGAATATCAGTGAAACCATCTCAGATAAAGATATTATTCATTCTCAATCCAGGAGATTGGATCGATGGGCAGAACACTTTAGGGATCAGTTCAACTGGCCTTCAGCCACACTTCAATTACCCACGATCCCCAGTCGTCCTGAATGGCAAGTTAATGTAAGTCCTCCAACTCTTTACAAGGTTGAAAAAGCTATAGGAAATCTGAAGCGAGGGAGAGCAGCAGGTCCTGACAGGTTTACCCCTGAGATTTTTTTAAGGATGGTGATCTAGTACTGGCAGCGAAATCATAGTATTTCTCGACCTTAAGGCGGCTTTTGACTCCGTTGATCGTGAGGTTCTATGGCAGTGTTTGTCGCTGAAAGGAGTACCAAATAATTACATTAATCTTATAAAGGCTCTCTACTCGAACACAAATGGTCGAGTAAGAGCTTATGGCGAACTGTCATCAGAATTAATTACGTCAAGTGGTGTTCGTCAGGACTGTCCACTCTCTCCATTCTTGTTTACCTTTGTCGTTGACGTGCTTTTAGAAATAACACTTTCCTCATCCAAATTTAGAGGGGTTGAACTTCTACCAGGAGACTCACTTGTTGACTTAGAATACGCCGGCGACATAGTTCTATTTGTTGAAGACGCTGACAAAATGCAGAGTCTTCTGACCACTATAAGCAACTCTGCAGGTATGTTCGGGATGCGATTCTCTCCCTCGAAGTGCAAAATGTTACTTCAGGATTGGGTTGCATGGATACGTGAACCAATGATAGGAAGTGAAGAAGTTGAGCGTGTTGACTGCTTCACTTATCTTGAGAGTCTCATTAGCCCTTGTGATCTGATGTGTGACTAGCTTTCACCAACTTGTGTCATTTATGGCGTAGGCGAGATATCCGTCTAGCAACCAAAGGATGGGTTTACTGTGCAGCAGTTCGTTCCGTTCTACTTTATGGCAATGAAACATGGCCGATAAGAGTAGCGGATATTCGTAGGCTGCTAGTATTCAATCATAGGTGTCTTCGAAGCATTGCTCGTATATCCTGGGACCACGGAGTAAGTAATGAAGTTGTGAGAAAACGGGTACTAGGTAAGGATGGCAAATCGATCGATTAAGTAGTGAAACTTGATCAGTTGAGATGGCTGGGACATGTGTTACTTATGCCCAACCACCGACTGTCCCGACGTGCAATGTTTTATGGTGTAGGAGTGGGTTGGAAGAAAGCTAGGGGCGCCCAGACTAAAACGTGGCATAAATCCATGAAGTCACTGACAATTGAACTGAACCATGTTGGTAGTTGTAGACTACTTGGTTGGGATTCGCGAGATGATAGCAATCGATGGTTAGAGACTTTGAATGACATGGCTCAAAATCGTTTGCAATGGCGAAAGTGCATCCACTGTTTGTGTTCTTTCAAATTCTAATCTTCTGAATTCTTCATGTCTCTATCTTTTTTCTCCTTCAAAATTTATTTCACGGGATTATAATCCTTCAATAACATCTTCAATTCCTAATCTTTCACATTAATGCTTATACTCTTACTAGTTCTACCACTATGTGATTTGAATCAACAACTGCATCTCTGTGCTAATGTGGTATGGTAACTCGAACTGATATACGTACGTACGAAGTTCTACGTTGTGACTGACTGAGTTACTGACAAACAAAAATGCTTTAAAAATTCATCAGTATCAAGTTATCGAAATATATTGTACATCTAGGCTTGTTAAAACAATTTCTGAACCCACAATACTGTATATTTAGGGTGTATTACAATTTATAATTTCGGCAATCATATTCGGGTGTCCGAATATAAATGCTGCTGTATTCTCACTATATTTCTACTTTCACAAACTGAAGTATCAGGTTTATTAATAATGCGAAGATTATCAGAGTTACGTGATACATTACTGCAGTGCATTTCCAACAATCTGATCACGCATAAACAGTTCAGACTTTATAAAACTAATCAACGTTAGATTGATCTGGCGTCCGTTCTACATGCTGTAAGTCTTTCTATTACTCTTATAACTCTTAGTCCGGTGGTTTATTTATTAAAGTACTTTGATTTCAACGATTGGTCTGATCTCTTTTTCGGCTCGGATGTCTGTATAATATAACCAACCTATCATATCCAAATTGTGGCTTAGAACTGACTTCACAAATCTGTACTCAGTTCTATAACTTAATAAGTTGATTATTCTTGATATGCTTAATAGAATACTAATTAATACGGAGAATCTAGTCCTAAGAAATCCGCTTAACTTTCACCCCGATCACCAGTATACATTACAGTATATAATTTTTTTAAATTTTATTTAGATAGAACGTGATTTAGCTGAATCTAGTTTATTGAAAGAAAATTCTAATCAAATTTCCTTACCACTTGTAATCAAAAGTGATGTACAAGGTAGTTTAGAAGCGATAAAAACACTCCTTTCTACCTATTCATCAGATCAATGTAAAATAGAATACTGCATTACTGGTGTTGGTCCGTTGACTGAATCTGAAGTAGACGCTGCCGCTGCAGTTAATGGTTAGTTTTATTATATTAGATGGTTTTGATTTTTTCATCATGGACAACATTTTGTTGACTTGTGTTTCTTAAAGGTTGATTCCAAATGACCAGTTGATCATGTATTCAGAATTTATATTTGTGAAAAATATGAATGACCCTAATCATAACATACCACTTTCATTATATAATTGGTGTCATTATCTATCAGTTGTGTGTATTTATGTAGTACTTATGCTGAAGCTTCTATATCCGTATGATCTCGGAAACAGCAAGCGATTCGGAGACGTTACTGTCCTAAGTAATCATTATAAAAAGTGAAAATTACGCGATTCAAGTATGTGCATCTGAAAATCCAGTTCATTAGATAGTTGTTATTGTTCACTTGTCTACCTTCATATTCAATGAAAGCCACTATCCACGTAAAGATCACATTCGAGTTTATTGACAACTTTGTAGGGGAGATTTGCGGAACAATGTTGTTATTCATATCACATATGTTTACGAGCAAAAGCTAATAAACAAAACTTGAATCCCATTTAATATGATTTCCGCTATTTTTAAACTCAAATAATCGCTACTCAGAAGTAAAACGTCTATAAATAATATTCATCAATAGGTAAAAACAGTAGTCCCCATGGTTAATTCACATGATCACCCATCACAAGGTTTTATTGGAAGTTCATTTTTTTGAGAGGTAGTATCTTCCACATGGATATGACCAAATTCTGCGAATAATAAAGTCGTATTGGCCAGAAGTGTGTCTTTCTTTCTGTGCTTGTTACCATTTTAATCTAAATTACTAATTAATAAATTACTAATAATAGTTTCATCTACTTCAATAACGGAAATTTCACTACGTGTACTGTATATGTCAACGTTTAATTTAAACTATAAGATACAATGTTCATCTGGTGCTTTATTGATCTTGTGTTTTCTATACATTATGCATAAGACTATTGGATTATACTCGAGTATAGATTGCTTGTAAAAATGAGTGTAACATCCTTAATCACAAGGATTGTAACACGAAATCAATTTCCAGCATGTCAAATACAAAATACTTAGAAAATATCTACCTGTATGGATTTTTAACTAGTAAAATCATCATAGCCATGTAGATCAACAACCTAATCGCCAGTGATTCTATTAGCTTGCACAAATTAGTGTCGTTGATTTTGTAGGTATAATTCAGATGCTTACAGTTTACATTTAAACTTAATAATGCATGAATTTTTCAATTTTAGCAAATGTACTACTATTCAACATTCATGCTCTTCCAGAAGCAACAATTGCAGCTGAACAAAATCGTGTTAAAATTAAAGAATTCAATATTATTTATCGATTGGCTGAAGAAGTTAGGGAATTAGTGAACGAGAAGCTTCCACCAATATTGGTCGAGAAGATAATTGGTTAGTTTCTAAATTTGCTACATGAATTTAAAACAGTCGTATCATGTAGCCTAAGCTTAAGTTATTTTTTTGCAAAGCTTTTGTACTGAATATTTTTCCCGAATTTGAATAAATTTGGTTTATCTTAAGATTAGATATCAAGGACACTACTGTATTCCTGTAAGTTTTGTTAAATCCTAATATATACAAAGCCACTTAAGTATTGGATGCAGAAATTATTTATGAAAAACACACGTCACACTGGAAATCTCATATGCTGCAACATGTAGATACTTATCAGATATAACAATTCCTCCCCCAGTAGCATCAAATTGCGACGGCTGTTCACCAGTAAATGGTTTCTAAATATACATCAATATATATTCCATGTCCACTCGTAACTTTATTTCATTAATTACGATGCATTTTATCTGATCACCGTAGAACTGATATCATCATTTATGTGCTGATATTTTTATATTATTAACATATCCCATTCTAGTGTATGCTCATGTTTCGACCACAATTCTAGATCCCATACCAATATTCGGCGGGGAATATTTGGTTTAATTCAGTAGTGGTTCACTATGTAACGTTAATGAGATATTTATTATAAATTGATGTCATTTACTTTAGGACGCTTAATTTACTTACTTACTTACTTACGCCTGTTACCCCTTGTGGAGGAGCATAGGCCGCTCACCAGCATTCTCCATCCAACTCTGTCCTGAGCCTTCCTTTCCAGTTGCTATTCATCCTTTTCATATCGGCTTCTATTTCTCGGCGTAGTGTGTTCTTTGGCCTTCCTCTTTTCCGCTTCCCTTCCGGATTCCAAGTTAGGGATTGAGTCGTGATGCACATTGGTGATTTCCTCAATGTATGTCCGATCCACTTCCAACGTCTTTTCCTAATTTCCTCTTCAGCTGGAAGCTGGTTTGTCCTCTCCCATAAAACGCTGTTGCTGATAGTATCCGGCTTAATTTACACCCACTTAAATGTCTAGTGTGATCAGAGATGATACTTTGAGTGTATCTACCAAACGACGAGTCAATTTCTGTCACGTCATTCATAGATGTGTGGAAACACGTTACGTCCTGAGTCAAAGTAAACAACTGTCGCTCGTATAGAAAGTTCGCTAAACTTATCCTTTAGTGATGACTTTAAACGACTCTATAGAAAATGTTAAGAATTCTGTTTCCTATAAGGCAATGAATAAGGTTACCTAAACTACCGAAAACCTGGGTCTACAAAGAACAAAAACTTGGATAAACATAGTATTACGTATTTTGTTTATTTTTCCACGGTTTATAATCAGTTTTCTCCCTCTTTTAACAGATTGTTTTTGCTATATTGTCTACTTTATAATCAATGAAAAGTCTACAAGAATTCGGTTTTCTATTTTCGAACTCACTTTACCATATGTAAGGTTTATTTAATATCACTAACAGATTAACAGTTCCGTTATTAACAATGTGAAAGGGGCACGAACTCATCCACAAATTTTCATATTATCATTTTTTCTTTCTTTCAATCCACATGTACCAGCTTACTAAAAAACTTTTCGTTTGTTTCAGGTGAAGCGGAAATTCTCCAGCTGTTTACGATTAAAGCATCTAAAAGTGTTGTGAAGACTAGACTTATACCAGTTGCTGGATGTAGATGTATTAAAGGAAATATTATCGCTAATGTTAATAAAATAGGCTCTATTCTCACAGATCTAGGTGAGATTATATAGGTTTAATGTATGTTTCGTATATTTCTTGTTAGTTTTTTATGTCATAACTTTTTATAGTACTTGTCGTGGATCGGTGAACCCCAAACTCATCGTTCCATATAATTTATTTCGTAAATATCTGCATGTATTTTCGTAATTGTTCGATACTACGTTTTGGAATTAAAGGACTCAACATACTTCTACATCAATATTGACCAGCGTTTACTAACATTTCGGTTGTTTTAAAGATCATTTTAATTTTAAATTTCTATTCAGGAATTGTTTCTTGTTTGTAATATTACAGTTGTTTTTTGGCTTTTTACGTGATTATCGACCTGTCGAAACGACCGCTTTAATGGGATATTTCAGTTGCTGAAATTAAGTTAACTTCGTTTCATACTACTTACCACTGAGATATTCTCAAATCCTATACGAATACGAACCTAACAACAGTTTTCACCTAGTGTAAATGCAGCGTTCTAAAATAAGATTAGAAGCACTGTTCAGCAAAACAGTTTGTTATTAATCTACTCAAATATATCAAGATGAGCTGGAATTCGATTTCAAGTGAATTCTAATTGTATGTCAATGACAGAAAAATGCTAGATATTCAAAATGTACTCTATGTGATGTGCAAGTTAATTCTGCTATATAAATGTTTTCTAGATGCAGAAGTAAGCAAAATGAACTATTTGCATAAAGCGCTTATGCAAGTGTAGTTATGAGACGAAAAAATAATAAAGCATTGATGTTAAATGATACCTACAAGCAGTTAAAAGCTATCCATTCCTTAAGGTATTCTGGTCGGTAATTTTAAATATCGTTTCTAATAACTTGTAGTATAACACAATCGAAATAATTTTTAAAAATAAATCTCACATATCAAGTTAAAAAATCCTGGTATAATTTAATAAAATAGTTTCTCGTAGATTCTTTACACTGCTCGGTGTTTGTAAAACCTCTTCAATAGGGCAGTGGTTTTGAATCTAGATTGCTAATTACATTCTTATCAGCGATAGCTTGACTTTAACGAAGTGAATTGTGAAGTAGACCATACAAATACAATTATTACGCAACATGGCTGACTGCTACTTCAGTGGAATGAATAGCTAAGTAGTGGATAGTGCACTAAAGCGACAATGAACCGCCTGGTTGTTAAAAAACTAGCTTTTTGATTGCGAATTATTTTGTATTTCGCAAATACATTGAATATCATTGATCATTTCCGTCTTTACGAGAATACTGAAATACCTTACACGTAAATAAGACACCCATCTAATCACTAGATTGTTCCTTAAAGATTTTTTACTATGGATCAGTTGCCAATTTTGTGCAGTATTGTGACATTACATTAAGTTCAATATTTCGATGTTTTAAATATTACTTCTATCCGGTGCCTGAACTCCTGCTATTATAATAAGGGCGTTAAGTGTTATTCGTACAATATTTTATTTTGTCTCTTATTATCATTTTTAGGTGTTGATGGTGAACCGACTGAATTGTGTTACCGCATTGTCCGTCCGACTCACCACTCAACATCACCAAACAATAAACATGGAGAAAATCCAACTACCGCTGAAAAGGACTTTTCTGATTCTAAAAATACCATAGTGGATCGAGCTAACTGTTACTCACTGCGTCATGAAAAATCTACTGTTGACAGTATTCGGAAAGGAGTAGATTGTGGTATTGTATTAGTTTCTCCTGAAGTTCCGGATATTCATAGCAGCAATCAAAATGTATCTGCGATGAATTTCATTTCGCAATGGAAGGTAGGAGATATAATTCAATGTTATGTAACAATAAGTGAAAAGAGTTCAGTTGATTGGGATTTCGAGACCTGTATTTCAGAAACACCAAACACTCGAAATCTCATAACTTGATCATTTTTATTTTTAAAACAATAAACAATCTGTATAAGAGAATAAACTTACTATCAAACATTTTTTTACAATTGCCTGGTCTGAATTATATATATGACATGTGTGCATTTTACGATGGATGGATTTCTAGCATCCATGTGGCCTAAATATAACTGTTTAACATGAGCGAGGCATGTATCAATAATTTCTGCTACAGGAATTCCAAAATCTAAACAGTATTGTGATGCTTCTCCATGGTTCCAATAGCAATATCACATGCTTTCTGTCGATCTTTTGTCATGGAGCACTGAAATCGAATTTTAGTACGAAGGATCTCACTTATTAGTTTGATAAAAATATCTTCTAAACAAAACTAAGTCTCTTCGTATTTAAATGCGTTTACCTTAAAGCAAACGTCATAAAAATGAAATTAACGATGTTCGAATCTAGGATTACCGCGAAGCTCATAAAAATACTTCGTTTGATAAATAAGCTAGTAATAAACTCGCCCCCACCCCCACAGTTTTATAAGCAGAAAATTCCATTTTCTTCCTCATATTGCGACACAATGTTACAATTATATACTGGGATATATGAGTGAATATATAATTTAACAAGGATCCATTTATTACAAAATGAATAGATGTATCGCACAAGGCTCTTCCAGTCAGTCAACTACAACTTAGGTCCAGGCACATATATGCCTCAGTCTAAGTTGCCACACCTCATTAGCACAACAAGATTAACACCGAATTCATAGAAGTAGTTACTTTGATGGTAGTGAATAATGATTTTATAAGTAGATATGATACAGGGAGAAAGAATTATTTCGAAAAAAGAAAGCTATGAAGTAATCTTATTCTCATGGTTTAAGGGAGGACAAAGAATGTTAGCTCTGTACTTGTTGGAACCTTACCGTCGGAGACGGAAATCCGTGAGATAAGGCGAGATGTGTATTTTTATGGTCGACCTTTTCTAACCCACTCCTCCTTGTGAGAAGACAGCATCGCTGTTATGCTGGTTGTTTGGAGGAAACACCTTACTGTCGTCACACCTCTGCACAGTCAGCAGTATGACTTCGCCTTCAGACCTTCGGTTTGCTGCTTTTAGTCTAAGCGCAATTCAACAGGCCTGTCTGGTATGGTAGGACCTTGAGGAACGACTGATTCAGCCAATATAGCTCGATTGGTCCATCACTATAGACAAGCCCGAACACCACGTCAAGGTAGCAGAAATGGTCTGGATAAAACTCCCTCATTATTATGCGATTTAATCCGTGTGAACCAGCTACTGAATATGATTGCGTACTGCTTAAAAGAACTTAGCTTTTTTCAAACGTCGGTTCTTTTATGTAACGATAACTGCGAATGCATTACTTCCTATTTCATTTTTCCGCAACGAAATTCGCTGTTATCTGTTTAGTTATTCTCACTTTTAGTTTCCTAATTTTACTGTCCCAAAATCATGTTTTGAGTCGTCTCATTTGAAATTAATCTCCTTGAGTATCATGTTTTTCTAACTCTCGTCTTCCGCCATGTTGAGAATTATTGTCGAAGCGTTTCGTGTCAGATGCTGGTCTATCCAGTTCGAATTAGAGGAATTTTGAGATAACTAATTTACTGAAAACTTTTGGATAATAATTCATTTCAAGTAGAAATTTGAACAGTTTAACTAACCTTTTCATACAAAATTTCTTTATTTGGTTAAAAATAGGTTATGTACACAACATTATAAACAAAACACAATTTGAGTGGTATTAATCAGCAACACTCTTACCCATCCTAAGGATCTAAATTGCTACGTTTGAAGCATATTATTGGATGTAAAATGGAAATTTATGAATCATGCGGTGACAACAGTTGGTTTATATTAGTGATTGCTTTTAAAGGGTCATCTTTATGCAACAGCAAATAACCTTGAACTTGTGCTGAACTCAAAGGTGTATCCTTTAATAGACTTGCGAACTTTTGAGCTAAATTATTAATGTCAGACGACGTCCATTGTGGGTAGAAGCGACTAAACATGCGCACTAGTTGAGACGAGTCGCAAACGTCAACTCGTATACGCATATCAACGCGACCGGGTCGTATTAGAGCAGGATCAAGTCTGTCAGTAAAAAAAACACAGTAAATAAACAAATTTACTACAACACACCCTAGTATTCTACAAAGCTGCAGGTGTTATTACATCAGTAATAATAATACCGAAATAAAGACCAGTTATACGAGTGTATTACCGAATACGACTTAGTAATACAATTATTACATGGCTAGTAAACTTATGCATAAATAGACTGCCGTTGCCGACCATCCGTGAAGTATTAGGTGATGACTTAAGCAAGCACCAGTGCAACTATCACAAGAACCCCCCAGTTTTGTTTGTTTACCTGACAAGCTATTTGTGAGGTCATTCCATTAAACACCAAAGTCATACACGTCATGAAAACTTTTATCGCTGGTGCCAGGCTCTTATTTCATTTGTGCGAAGTTGTCTGGTTAAGCGATAGACTAATCTAAAAAATAATCCATATAACAATGAATTTGTTTAGTTGTATATATTCCGTACGATATTTTGAAGTAATGAATATTGGACTATATTGTTTGAGACAAAGTTTGTATAGAAATCCTCAACAACTATACTTATGTACAAACTTCAGACACACAGGCAGCTAAAAAGTCTTTATTGAGCACATGCCTTTATGACTTTACCATTTTTCTCATTTATGCATCTCTAAGCGTAAGTTAAAATTGTATTCTCTTGCATCAATGTAGGATATGTAAAAAAAGAGGGAGGGGGAAATATGGACTAATTAGTATTTTGAGATGGAGAATATTTGTAGTACGTGTTCAGTATTTTCGAGGTGTTATTCGAAAACCAACCAAATATTGATCCGGTGTCAGGCAAGGTTGCTAACTCTCATTCCTTCACTTTCTCCTGGTGATCGACTGAATCATGAAAACGTCAACATCTGGGAGGAAGCATGGGATACAATGGACAGCTAAGATGCAGCTGGACGATTTAGACTTCACAGATGATCTGGCTCTTCTATCACACACTCAACAACAAATGCAGAAGACGACCAGTGTAGCAGTAGCCTCAGCAGCAGTACGTCTCAATATACACAAAGGGCAAAGCGAGATTCTCCAATACAAAACAGCATGCATCAACCAAATTACACTTGACGGAGAAGCTTTGGAGGATGTGAAAACCTTTACATATCTGGGCAGCATCATTGATGAACACGATGGATCTGATGAAGATGTAAAGACGCGGTTCGGCGAAGCAAGAGCAGCATATCTACAACTGAAAAACATCTGGAACTCAAAACAATTGTCAACCAACACCAAGGTTAGAATTTTCAATACAAATGTGAAGACAGTTTTACTGTATGGGGCGGAGACGTGGAGAACTACGAAAGCCATTATCCAGAAAATACAAGTGTTTATTAACAGTTGTCTACGTGAGATACTTCAGATCCGTTGGTCAGATACTATCAACAACAGCCTACTGCGAGAGAGAACAAACCAGATTTCAGCGGAGGAAGAAATCAAGAAGAAGCGCTGGAGGTGGATAGGACACACATTGAGGAAGTCACCCAACTGCGTCACAAGAAAAGCCCTCACATGAAATCCTGAAGGCCAAAGGAGAAGAGGAAGACCAAAGAACACCATTAGAAACGGATTGATATTTACCAACAAGTTGAACGATTTTTAAACCAAATTACAATGACTTCCGTAATGAATACATAATAAACTTCTTAGTTGATCAATTGATCAAGAATCATTCATTTTATTCTACTGGTATGGTGTTTTCTGAGACTGCTACCAATCAAAACGAAACCATATTGCCATTCTTCAAGAGAATCATAGTTTCAGTATGGGAAACTATGGAAATGAGAGCAGTCTCAATCTATGGTTCGAAACCTGGAATCTGCGAGTTGAGGATGTCATACGCTTCTGTGTTCCGTCATCGTTGTTTCTAAAGGATTGTCAACACGTAATAGCTGAGATTTGATAATGCGTGTTTGGGCACAGTGATGATAACTCAATTGATGTCAATGCCCTGAAACATTGGCTTCGGTTGGTTGGACATGTCATGAATGTTATCTCAGCAGCTTTTAAACTTTGCATTAATTTCCGACACTAGGATTGACTACGAAAAGCAGAGAGGTTTACGGGTTGACACCATCGTTTGAGTTAAAGCAGTGTAGGAGTAGCACCCGTTGATCCACCGCCGCTTCCTTTGGGTCCCAAAGATGATCCAACTCAAACGTTACCGAACTTGATTCAGGAGAGAAAAAAATGACGATTCTGCTTTAATCTCTCCAACATTCTTCATAAATGTGAAAGGAACGCTTTAGATGGCAGAATTCTAGGTTTCCTTGTTTGTATGCTTAACTGTATCTCCTCTTGCATAGCGTTCATGTTACTGATTTGCCATAAATCTCTCTTTCTATCCAAATGCACTCCCTTTTTCTCACAATGTTATCCATACTTTGAGACCCATTTTACTATTTGGTACTATGTTGTGCCAAGTTTCATGTTGTTAAATAAATAAATAAACTATAAATAATACCTAAGCATAACAGAAAAAAACATTTGTATTCAGCGATTGACAATTACTTCTGTTCTACCCCACTATAGGGTGTCAGCTTGTTTCGATTCTGGTCATTAATGATTACCAATGTAAAAAATTTATTTACGGATAAATCAAATTTAAAATTCATAATTTCACTATGAAGTAGTTGCATTTAAGAAGAAATTACTCCAACTCTACTGATAATTGTTCAAAGTATCCACTATAGCCGAGGAGTCCCTAAGAAGAAGGCTCGAACGCCACTCCATCTGCTTAGGTTTGAATTACTGGATAATATGGTTCGTAGAAAATTATACGAACCTGCACCTGAGAAATGAGAGTTAATGTAGGAAAAAGTTTGTGTACAATAATTCAGATACTCACCGATCGATATAGTTTGTAGTCATGAATATGATGCGACCATCTGTCGAGGTTACACCATCTAGTGCATTTAACAATCCACTTAAAGTGAGTGTTGGCATACCTTCATAAGCTAAATGATGTTAATTAAACAATAGAAACTAAACGAAACCAACCTTTGCTATGAAGTAGATCATTATTTGATGTGTTACGATTATGCACTGCTGCGTCAATATCCTCAAGTAAAATGATAGTTTGAAGCGGTGCATGTGTTAATAAATGATCTAATCGATCTGCCGTCATGCCGAATTCGCTTAAATTTAACATGCTAATGCTATAATCTAAATGGCCTATAAAATAATTTCCAGAAATTGATTAAGTCATTTATTGTTATATTCATTAGTTTTAGCATTCAAATTATTAAAACTTATACTAGCTACAGAAAAAATAAAATGAGTACCCTAATTCATCTAATTGCAGGTGACTAATGAAAAAAATACTTGGTAACAATCAATTTCAAAAAAGAAATATTGGCATCATTTATGAAAATATTAATCAATAAAATATAATAAAAATAAAATATTAACCAAAATACTAATCAAATGTTAATCAGATTCTTGCTCACTCTGCGATGACGTGAGCTGTGACAACCTGAACTAATAGACATTTGTGTCTGATATTACGAAAGTGATAATCCAGTAACCGTAAAATTGTCTACGTATAAATGGATCTTTTAAGATTAACAAATGATGGAATTACACTAAAATGTTAATGAAAGTGACAGATATGTTGAAAACTGCTTTTATGTACCTGTTTTGGTAAGAAATTAATCTAAGCTTAATATAAAACCCAGAATTGGCCATACAGCAAATCCACTTTTATCCTTTGAATCAACTACTTTTGATGAAAACAGATACACATTTGCATATTTAGATTTGAAATACGTTTTCAGTATGTGAGCTTGTGTAGTGATGTGACTCTATTTATGAAGTTGAAGTATATATATCAAGGTTGGAACTAACTAAAGTTATTGGTTCGTATATACCTGAAATACAGTGAATTCACTGCACTATGTAAATATTTTCGTTCTTGATTTGTCTAAGTTTATGAAAAGGAATCGCTTGTACGACGCGTTATACGTTTATTTATTCAGGGTTTAGCATCAAAATTTGTCTTGACAAATGACCATTATTTTTATTGAAATATTAAATAAAGAACATATTTTAGTGCAAATTGAACAGAGAATCAAAAGGTGGAACATAAAAGTGTGTATACATATCTTTACAAAGGTTTATTTGAGAAACGACTTTTTCTATTGTAATTGAACTAAAAAGTGTGACAAATAACTGCTCTAACATTCATAACAATGTCAATATATTCCATACTGATTCTAGGTGTAGAACTGTTCTGTTGATATAGTTGACAATTAGTCAGATTCATACTTTGCGCTTATTTAATTATTTTAACACATAAATAATAGTACAAAGAGGCACTGAATACATAAGCGCCACATAAGTCACTTGATTTGTGTGTGGGCTGTGATACTGCCCGGGTGTCTAGACCGAAACAAATGGTTTTTTTAGTGGGCCACACCTGGAGCCTTCAACCTAAAGATATGATCCACAAGGCAGTAGAGCAACGTTAGGAGATGCAGTCCCATGGTAGCCGGTGACCAATAATTGGTTCATACGCTATTTTTTCCCACAGGATCCTGAAGCCCATATTCACCATTGGTTTGGAATCAGGATTTTCCAACTCCTCTAGGTGGATCCTCCATATCCACCATGCTTTCCATTGAAGTGCTTAAATGACTAGAAATCTGCTATTTCATTTTTTTTAAATCATACACTCCTGACATCGTCACATAATGATCATAGAAACTACGGGCTGATAAGTAGTATATATATATTACCTGCTAAGGCTGTTATGAAACTAGTTTTGCCACATCCTGGCGGTCCATATAATAAATAACCACGATGATATGGTATACCACGATCAGTATACCAGGCCTGATTGTCTAAATGAAATAAGAAAGAAAATAGACGGAAAAATCAGTGTCAAAAGAATAGGTAAAGAGAGATTGTTTAATAAACGCTACACTTATTTCTTAACAATTTCTCTAAGAAAGGACAACACTGAACTACAGTTAACGAATAACGATAATGATTTTAAACGTCTGCAATAAACACTGTCAGTTAGTTCCTTGACTTTCAACACGCGAATTGTTTAGATATACGGTGATCTCATTTAGATGTCTGATAAAACTTTAGAATGATTCAATTACATTTCTAAAACTGAAGTCAGCGAAAAAATCTGACTTACGTCAAAAAAATTTTATCATTCTATCAAGCTATCGTCACGAAGGATTGACAGTAATGTTATATAAGATCCACATAAATTAATACGGGTCTAGAACGAGAAGTCTGTCTCTTAAGAGAATCTGCGCTCTTCGTAATGGTCGATAAAGTTCAACAGGTATTTCAAACAACGAAATAAGAGATAATGATGACAAACGAAACAACTTGAATTTATTCATACTGATCTCACACAGCTTCATCAGTAATATGAACATCTATACTAAGAAAATTATGATGAAGACTGATTCGAAACCAATTGAAACATAACAAGAATTCACGAACATCAAAACTCATCGTAAGTCCACATAGTTCCGATAGGACATACAGTAAGAAAGTAAAATTTTATTGTAAAAATGGAATGTTGATCAGTATTTAAGAAATCAGCTCTAATACAAAAACATATAAGATGTGGATAAATCTTTAGATTTATTGCTTGTCAGTAATTTTTCCCGTTCTATTATGTGGGGAATCTTAAACAAACATTTCCCTGGATTATCATTCAACTAATATATCAGTTACTGATTGATTCTTCGCATTGATACCCGTATTAACTACAATGGATAAATGACTAAAATAAAATATAACAACTTGCTTTTCAAAATCTTACCTACCAACAAACTCTTTGACATCGGCTACAATCGTTTCAGCTATACCATCACGCAGTATGACAGAATTTAAAGGTCGACGTGGACGAGGATAACCAAACTGGCGCCATTCTGAACCAACAGCCTAAACCATATAAATGGGAAACAACTGAAATTAATTGGACACATACTTCTTGCATTAAACAAGTATAGCTAAAGATTACCAATAAGTAGTCCTTCTAGAATACGTCTCTGTCCTTTGAGGTAGATATATCCGTTGTACTAGAAAAACCGAAAACAACAAACTACGACTTCAGACAACTATTACATTTAGTATGTTCTTATATGAGCCGATGTGGCTGACGGAAATTATAAGACAATCTATACATAGTATGGGTAACAAGACATTAGTCGAGGTAAATGTTACGTCTGGCCGATTGTGAACGCTATATTCGCTTCCCTAAGCTAGTTCCGTGACCCCGAGCTAGAACTACTCAGCGACTTGAAGACCAGAGAAAAGGCACAAAGTGTATGGGAAGCACTTTACTACAGGGTTCAATCTTGTTACAGAAAATCATAGGTATTTATAGATGTTAGACAATCCATTAACGACATATTATGATACCGACCAATAGTATCACGTCACGTTGGAACTCTAGAATGTTCCATCGTATTCTGATTGGCTGGGGCTCTTTATGAGCCTCTGGAGGCTCTGTTAGAGTTCTCTGGAAGCTGACTCAACAGTAAATTATATCATAAAACCACAAGCGTTTCCTTAATAATTTCGCATGAAACTTCTAACATCTGGACAATTAAATAATGGATTCATTTTAAATCTTTTGTATGTTAACCGCTTAGAAAAGAATCACCGGAGAAACCTGAATTATTTTCTTGCGATAAAATGAATGTACAGTGATGAGACTAATAAATTAAGAATCGACCTAAACAAAAACATCTGTTTATGATCTACTTGTTTATGCACTCAAATTGTCAGATCACAAGAGATGATTTTACAAACAACCTTACTAATTTAGACTAAAAAACCGTATGATTATCACTCTTAAGTGGTAAATGACGACGATAATTGATGAATGGATAATGAATTTAGAGAAATAAAATCAGTTCTACTAAACAACTATTTAAACAAATATTCTTCAGAACATAAAGTAATCTAACAAAACTATCTAAATCCCAGAAACCTCTTACTTCAATATCTTTGGGGTATTGTGTAATATGCAAAATTAGAGTCAAACACAGATATTTTAGGCGAAACACTTCGCTGCTTTATTATTACAAGTGTAACTCGAACAGTAAATTTTTCAAAGTGGGAAGTTCGCGCATTATCGTTTAATTATTTGTAGTTATACATTCTTAATTCCTGTAGATGCTATATCTGTTGGAAATATTCAACATAAAAATGAACTGTATATGAAAATAATCACGTTAGTAATATGATAAAACTGATATTCAATAATAACGACAATTGGTGTGATAAGTTTTTTGACATTAGAGTAAGATCATTATATATGAAAATTTTGAAAATTAAACACGAAAAAGGGTCAGTAGATATGTGCCCAAATTACCTTGTAAACAACGGTCCAACCCTTTTCACGTGCAAGAGCTTCTTCTCTAGCCTCCTCGAGCAAATCAATAAAAAATCTGGCATTGCGACCAAATGTCGTAAGAGTTACACTTTCAAATGGAGCTACAGTAGCACCTTGTAAGGACTGTTGAGCACGAACACGTTCAATTCGAATTAATTTCATTTGGTGAATCATATAGTGAACGCCAACGCTGGGCACAAAGCCGAATGCAGCTTTGATTCGGCCGCCTTCTGTACGTACTACACTAGTTTCAACACTTAAGTGTTGACTTGTACCACCTATTTTGTTTTTTCCACATTTCATTAAAGGTCCATTAGATTTCAGCGTAATCCAATGTAAAACCCAGGGATAGGCCTTATCATGACTGGCTACCTCTAAAGTTAAAGTAAGATTACGGCGAACAAGAAGGTTTATGACTTGACTTATTCTTCTAAGAGCAGCCATTCCTATCCCAACTCCAAATAATCCAGCACCGGCACTAAAGTATGGATTATCTTTTAAAGCGGAAGCTGCCAAATCCTGTACGATTTCCATTGTCCTAAGATATGTTTCAATAAAAAGTAAACAGCAGTTTATAAAACTAGAAACAATCTTTAAAAAATACTGTAGTTACACAACTTGTTCACAACAACGAACCAGAAAATATTGGAAATTTACGAAGTTTCAAAAGTATCTACTTCTCATAATAGTTTAATAAAAAACTATTATTGACTATTGAAACGCCAAAATGATGGTATTTTGTGCTTGCCTAGTGTCGAACGTTGATGAGTTTTAAAATGTACATCACTATGAAATTGATTGGTGGTCATGCCATTCATGTTTCGATTCTTGACTTTTATACTATGTATGGACAACAGTATCAGTATACAAAATGAATTTTATTAGGGAAAGACGAATTATAAGAAAAAATACTTCTATATACTATTTATCTTTAGAGAGAAACAACTTTCCTATCAAATCTAAGATTGTCTCGTTCTAATGCTGCATGTTAAAAGTAATCCAAATCCAACTACTTAAATACAGAAAATCCATCTAACGGCAATATATATACATTTTGTTCGAAAAGCAATGGCTTTTCGCCGTGAATGTAAATGGCATTTATACGATGAACTAGCCAAGTTAGTAAATTCTAGTCTATGGAAGAGTTGGAACTCATTTAACAGTGAAAGTAATTGACGTGAATCGGGAGAAGCGATTTTAATTTAACATATAAACATTGGTACAGGGGGACACTAGATATTTATGCTAATATATATATATATATATATATATATATATATATATATATATATATATATATAATAAGATCTTGTAATTATTCGACTCACCAATTGAGATGGTTCAAAATCGACTATGGAAGCTAAATGTATGTACACCAAGTTCTTTTCTGATAAATTTTTGTTTTTAGGACCAAATTCATTTTGTTTAAACTCTTTTCAACTGTTTTTTGTCCTAACTGTTAAGTTTCTAAAAATATATAGTCAGTGAGTGTTATAATTTAAGTAATTATATCTTATACCAAATTGTATGCTGATACAATTAACCATCCTGTAGGTCCTGTATTGATGTTTTCTTACTGTGACCTAGTGCAGTTAGAGGTTCTAAAAAAGGATGAGGATTATATTCTATCCTCCACTGACTCTAATTGAAGTTCGAAAAGCCATAGCTAATCTGAAACAAGGAAGAGCAACTGGTCCAGATGGATTAAATCCAGAGATCTTTAGGAATGGTGGTCCAGTTGTAGGTTATTTATTTATTTGAACACAAATATTGCTACAGGGGGGCACCAGATATATATGCGCCACACAAAACAATAAGAATGAGAAGAGAAAAAGAAGGTAAAGTGCGTATAAGAAAAAAAGAAGAACAATAATAACCACAGATTAGTGTATGTTAGTGTAACAATAAGAATAATAATGGGGGAGACGGAAAGGTAAGACCAGAAGAATTCTCTCAGTTAAGGAAGTTACAACCACTTTTAATGAAGGAAGTAAAAGGTTACAGCAGGATCGCCACTGGCTTCTATTCTGAGCCATATCTGATACCGTCTCTAGCCACTGTGTTGCACCATCTCTCAGATCAATACATCATCGACCAGAACAGAAACCAGACTGCTCCTCGCGAGTTAATCTTTCTCGGATTTTGAACAACCTGTGAGGAATGACAAGTCAATAGTTTGGACGCAATCAGATGTAGACATATCTCCTGATATTTGTTACAGAAACGACGTGAACCTTTTTTAAAGACAGGGACAACTATTGATTCATTCCATGACGTTGGAACACGCCAGGTGGCACACCAGTGATGACTGTGCCAGAAGTTAGTGCTAGCCAGAAACAGGTTGTAGTCTGTGTACAGTTGCAGTAGACGGTCCCCGCTATCTGTCCTGCGACCAACAAGTCCACATCGGCCACCTAAACGACTCTCTTCTGTGCCTAGATGCCCGACCTGTGCATTCAAGTCTCCGGCTAGTACTACAATATCTGTCGAACGCACTTTCTAGAGAAGAACAATTAATTGGTGGTAGAATTCATCCTTGATTGCATCCGGGCCGCAATCTGTCGGGGCATAGGCGATGACAAAAAGACATCGTTTCTCACGCCAGTTTCTTCCTACTTTGATGGAGCTTTCTAATCTAACAGCACATAACCGACTGTTAATAGGGATCCAATTGATTAATGCTGCCTCAGCTCTAGCGCTTAGTGCGACACCAACGCCAGCAGGACAAGACGAAGATGCCACAGTATCTCCGGATAAACGGACGTAAAACAAGCCTTTTAAAGCGACAGATGTAGAGCGAATTTGTAATACATCACTAGAGTTTTGAATACGGGTCTCGGATAGACAAGAGACGTCGATATTAAGAATTTCTAGAGACATAACCAGCCCTAACTGTTGTCTGATCTGCATTAGTGTGCGAACGTTCTAGAGAGCCAGTTTTATTGGTGTACGTAGTTTCAGAAAGACTGGTTCAGTATTCGTATTTGGAGGAAGCATCCACTTTCGACTAGTCAGTGACTCGAGATCGTTTAGATAGGACAGAGTTTCCACCATGGGCGCGCTGCTGTATAAATTGTAAAATGGGAGTACATGAAGTGAGAATAGATGAAGATAAGTGACGTAGTGTACAAAAAGAATATGATAATACTAGTAATAATAATAATAATAATAATAATAAAAGTGAGTGTTATCAAGCGAATGAGAAATGTCTGAATTCTAATTCGAGAGAGTATAGTATACCATGAGGTAATTGTTATCTCGTAAGATTTTTGTGAGGGCTGTGGTACTGCTCTGGTGTCCGGACCGAAGCAGGTATTTTTCTTGGGGGACCATACACCGAGCCTTTGACCTAAAGGTCTAACCCACAAGGCAGTGGAGCATCGTAAGGAATTGCAGTCCCATGGTAGCCGATGACCAACGATTGGTTCATACGCCATTTGTTCCCTCAGGATACTGGAGCCCATGTGCACCATGGTTTGGAATCAAGGTTTTCCTATTCCCCGAGGTGAACTTTCCATGTTTACCAAGCCGGTTAAAGCGCCGGACATGTGCTTTTCGTCCTCTCAATTTTGTAAACAACACCCCCGCCACGAGAAGGCAGTGAGTAGGACTTCCCTGGCAGAGGCTATATATTCGCGTGGCCATGTGAGAGCATTTCCAGAGGGAGAGTAGCCCCCCCCCCACTCTCGGCCGCACCAGGGCATTTCGGAGCGAAACCAGAATTAACGGATTAATCAAATAACCTGTTGTGATACACAACTGACTAATCTGCTATATTAGGCAGGATCGGAAATGAAGCACTATTTATAAGGTTTAGCTTATCCAGGTCATCCTAATTACTATGGACTTTAAAAAGTAAAAAGTGTACATTAGTCAGCCCAGTTCAAAGTATAGATGAGAATGGAAAGATTCACACAGGTCCGAAATATTGGAAAAGAATCTTCAAAAGCCTTCTATAGCAAATCTTCCCACAGGAAGTTCGGACAATATCAAAATCGAAACACGAAATTTAACCCACTTTATGGGGCGAAGAGATCATCAACAGGCTGGATTACAGTAAATTAGTGTGATGTGTTCCAAATAATATGCACTATAAGCTTTTAATTACTTTTGGAGTAACTAATCAGAAATATATAAGATAAACCAGCTATTTTTATCATTTTGTTTAGTTACTAGATTGCAACACACAGTATTCTTTTCTCATAAAGATCATGTGAGTAACAGGAGAATGAAACGAAATTCGTTGTATTCTTCGTGTCATAACTGAATTATCTTACCACAATTGAGATGAAGAATATAGCAAATTCTGTCTCATTATTCAATTACTAACGTGATTACATTGAGAAAGGGAAAACAAGCGTTATAATCTATCTAGTTCATAAGGTGAAACTACATGAAACGGTCATACAAAGGCATCATTAAATAGTCAGACTTGAAAGTCTAAAATGGGGAAGATACGACTCCATGTTCCCTGTGAAAGTCATCAATTATATTTATGTTCAATTAGAATCATTATAGAAAATACAGGATGCAATGAAAACAACAGATACGAAGTACACAATCCAAAAGATATTAAACAATTGTAGAAAAAACTTGATATCATAGCCAATATAAATCAGTATAATTCGTACGCAGGGATATTATCATCAATAGAGTTCACCATTTCATTCACAAATAATTCGTACGCATTTGTGTATGAAACTGAAAGTCAAAATTACCACTGTTTGACATGAAAAATTATACTGTACCGTATGCAATGATCGATAGGAATTAATAATCAAATCTGAAAGTCAACACTAATCAAGTACAAAACAATAAGATGAGATGGGAGTTGCAGCAGAAACAGAATACTATTTTAATAACTACATAGGCAACCAATCACAGGTATACGGAATAAACATACAAATAGAAACTCAGTAAAATTGATCTTAATGAGTACAAAAAAATTAATTAGACTAGAATGAGGTATTTCATTGTGGACTTCGTGAACTTCAGACATGTACGTAGTTGTCTCTTTAATTGGTCACACTTACGAATACAAAACTCAAATTATACTTCGTTGGGTGACAGTAATTTTGTTTTTAAAAAACTGAACTGAATAAATTGTATACAATAACTATTTTTCAAGATGAATTAAAACAACCACAACTCAAAATTACAAATAAACAAGTGAGACGAGCAAGCCAGAATATATACAAAAATGACAGAGATTCAAGACTATTTTATTTCTATAAATAATTAGTAGTATGATACGAACTATATATTATTTACATAAGAAAATGCATGTATTGTATTACAAACAATTTGAATAACTGATTATACATGACGTTTAGATGTAACTTTTGGTTTGTTTTAAATATAGCTGATTTATTAAGTGAATACTGCCTAAATAAAAAGTATTCTGACAGATTATAATTGTTTTCTTTTAGAATCATACTACATATTTTAGGGCCAATCATCTATAGGTGGAGATATGACTCCTTGCGATTCCAGCTCATGCCATAGTGTTAAAAGTGGTTCTGCTGTACGTGTATGCCACACTAGGATCTAGGTGAAAAGTAAAAAAAGAGATAGTTGTACAGCTGGAAGATGGTTTCAGGCTAAATGATACTAAGGAATCAATACATTACGAATACTATTTTATTTTTAGTGGAGTGATAGCATTTGATTTGCAGTCACTAAATCCTAAGTTCAAACCCCGTCCCATCTGCTTGAGTTTGGACTACTGGAGAGTATGACTAGCTCTTATACTTAGAGAGTGCCACACACTCATGTACTTGGCGAATTAGTTACTATGGTAAATTACTACCAAGCGGAAAATGATAAGTGTATTATGTCTGGAGATTGTAAAAGTAATTCGCAATAAAATAAGCTGAATAATTATACGAAAGTACTTGTAAATATGATGTTAATGAATGTTGGTACTATGTTAACAATTTTAGCAACAGCGAAAAAGATGATTTATCGCTTTTTCTCCAAAGCTTAGGATATTTGTGCATCGACTCACGTTGCTACATCACATCACAGGGAGAAGACATAGTGTCAGAAAAATGTCAGTAGTAGGAAACATTTGGCGCAGATATTATTCAAGAAGAAAATATGGATTCATGAAGTAAAGAAGTCACAATGACATTTAGAAACTTAAGATCTAAGAGAAGATAAACATTGAGTGCACCTGCGCCATTAAATCACCCAAAGTCTCTAACAATTGGTTAGGAAAACTGAGCAGACCTTAACCATGCTGTCTGTGCTTATCTATATAGCTTTATCCAATAGTCAGTGACTTTAAGGACTGATGCAAAGTCTGAGTTTGGCTACCCTTAGTTTTCTTTCGACCTACTGCTACACCAGTCATCAACACTGGTGATTGAGTGTAGGTAATACATGTCCTAATTAATACAGTCAACGAATACTTACCGCCTCATCAATCAATTTTTCATACTCACCTAGTGCTCTGTATCTAACTCCAACATTGGTTGCTGGTTCCAGCATACACGAGCAACGCTTTGAAGACATCTATGACCACATATTAGTAGCCTACGAGCATCCTCTATTTCCAAGTACTCACCGATATTAACACTGTAATCTTTATTATTTCTAGTTTAATGTCAATGCTTTCGATTGTCAACTTCTTATCAGTTATGAAATATATATCATTATGAACATTCAAAATCAGCGTTGTTGTTACCATTGTTTTCATTCCCCATCATTCTTGAAATCAACGTCTTAAGTTAATCGTAAATAGATAAAATTCAGCTTGAATGGTTATGCTAGTCAGTTGAACGCATACAGAATAACTCCAGATGCAAAACACAGACGATAAATATAGTGGTGAATTGGCCGAATAATAAACAATATGGTAATGAATAGACTTTCCGTCCCCTAATTTTACAGTCAATGCTCCATTTGGTGAGATAGATGTTTGAGTGACACTCACCTATGAGAAAAAGCATCGATAACATATTAATATTAAAAATGTAATTACAATACCGCAATACGATTGATTGTGATTACCATGATCGATGACTTTGGAGATCTCTTTGATTTAAAATGAATAACGTTTTATACGAAGAACTATTTCTTTTTTAGAGACTGGTTACAAATTTATTTAAGTGCTTAGTAAGGAAGCTAAAAGAAGAACTAACCAAGGGGATCGGAACTATGAGCAGAATTAACTACAGACTAAACTGAATATTTGATTGGCTCCCAACCCTATCTATGCCTATAAAATTGGTAATTGACCATACAGTTCTGGCAATCTTCGTCTTTTTATTACACTATTCAAATTTATTAAAGGGACTAACTGCTTTAAATATCAAAACAGTCTAATACTTTGGATTTCAAATAATCAGTGGTAATCTGTATCATTTTAAATATTCGTGAAAACGGTAGATATATTGAAACAAGAAAGATAAAGATCTCTGTTTGTATCTGTGAGAACATCTTAGAGGATCTGAGAACCAAACCTCTGCATAAACCAAATAAATCATTCGACCCTTGCTTGATAAAAAAACCCGCAAATCTTTCAAAATAATATATGATCCTCAACACGAAGACTATTTAATTAGTCGAATGAAGGCATGTTAGGTTCATTAATTGCCTTTCCTTCCATAGCATGAAAACAAACTAAGATAAATTAAATTCTACCTTTTTCAACAATAAGGATGTAGCAGCCATATGAAAAGTTTAGGTAACTGAACAATAAAAACAGGGGTAAGGTATTGAATGCAATTTCACGACGAAATTTCACGACACATTGAGGTTTTTACATTGCATATTCCAAAATAAATGTAGTGAACACTATTAAAATGTCAAAAACCCATTCGCAATCCAACAAGTGACCTACTACATAAAAATAGACGTGGGATTCTGATAATCTATACGATCAACAACAGGTACTAGCATATTCACAATTACATTTGAGAACAGTGCAACTTACCTTCCGACAACCATCTGCTAGTGGTTCCAATTCTCTCCAGTTTTTTAAACCAAGATCTAACAAAAATTGTGATTCCTGCATTCCACGTAAACGTTTGTAGTCAAATCCAGCATTCTTGTGTTGAAGAATAAGATCAATATTAACTGCGAATCCTGCCATATCAATTGGAAAAGGACGCTCGGGTTTGTACACTGACCACATACGTACAATCTGTGTTCGATTTTTAGAAGTCACACAACCCTCCCATGGGAGTTCACCTGCGAATCCAACCGGCCATGTTGAAACTTTGTTTGTACCACGCATCTGAAGTTATAGACAAACTTTTCATACTTAAATTTAATCAATAAACGGTATAAAGAAGTTAATATCTTGTTTCTAGTCAAGCTTTTATTTGCATTTCCAGATGAGAACTACTAAGTTTTTTTAGCTAAAGTACTCTGTGATGAATTCGTCGTTAAATTAAGTGACTAATTTATGAAGTATTTTAGTGAAGCAAATTATTTTGGTAATGAAATGGCAGAGAAAAAATACCAGGGCTTGAAACATTTGAAACTGAGACAGACTGACATTCTTTTGCCCTACTTAAATAGACATTTGAAATGGCACTTTGTAACACTGAAATAACTTTATATTCTTAATTAATAAATATCCGGCAAACTAAGACAAGAACTAATCAAGTTGTCGATTTAAAAGCCTGTCTACTGAAATTCACTTCTTAGTTCCCATTATCTAAACGCCTGTCGCGCAATTTCCAATATCTATTTAGGAAAATGTTAGTGCAGAGTTCTACTTCAGTTCTGCGAAACTTGGTCTATTCAAAATATATGTGGCAAAGGTATGTAAGCTTTTCATATGACTCGAACTTTTTTAATTTTCATTCAATTTATGAGAAGTCAGGATCTAAGACTCTAGTTATTTATGAGAAATACCTAACTTCCGATACTCTTTGATACATTTGATGGTACGATCTCTCCCACAAGTAAATTATATGCGCTTCTAACCGACCTACCAGCCATAGTAAGATCTAAACAAACTATGTAGCTCGGTAGATTGTCGTTAATAATAACCGAACTTAGACCAGGTCTCACTCTAAGGTAGTAAATGGAACAGTGTGTCAATAACTTTGACCAACTATCTTGATCAATCGTGGTTTTTTCTGACAGGAATTGACAATTAATCAAATGGGAAAAAGAATTTGTCCATAAACTGCATTAATTCAGTACGATGAAAGTTAAGCAAAAATTTATAGACTTACTTCCTCAAAAATACGTAAATTATAGGAGTTGTCATCGTCAGCGATGTATAAGACACCTTTGTTTCTACCTAAAATAAGATTCTGGCGCAACCATTGAAGTCCAAGATTACGTTGACGTATGCCCTTAGGACGAAACCAGAAGGGTTCCCTCGCTTTAGGTTTTTCTGACTGTGGTGTTGGGATGTTTAAATGTACAAAAGGTACACCACAATCATTTAAAATATTTGATACGATCCTAAAAGAGAATAAATCACATGTCACATCGTATTTCAAATAGTCAGAAAAAACTGTACTCAGATAGATGCGATTAGCAACAGTCAAGTTAAATTCAAAAGAGAACAATGGAAAGGTATAAAGTCCCCATCTAATTGGGCTCAATTAGTAGTTTCACGGACAAAACAGTACATATTAAGATATAAATGATTGATCAAACAACATACTAAATACCAAATCAAAGACTACCATGAAGGTTCTGTGCTATCTTCTACAAGAATCCATAAAATATCCTTCAAATTACGTAAGGTGTTACACATTCTTGTAAGTTCTGCACGCTGGACGTTTCTTTGGTATGTAGCAGTAATTATGTACAAAATGGGTTTGTTCACATGACTACCGTAACTTTCTGAAATAACAAAGTTTACGAACATACACAAATCACTTTGATACTGCTTCCCGATGGTATACAAGAAAACCGTCAGCGGAAAAATACAGAGAAAAACAGCAAGCCTACATCGAGTAGCACAATCCCACTTGAGCACGGTCCGAATTATACGAGACAACCTCCATACAGTCTAAAAGAGGAAAATACAGCTATTAAGTGGGCAAAGTACACTATGCCAGACTGTCACGCTATTATTGAGTAAAAACATAGTCAGTGGATAATCACAGATATAAAATCCGATTCAAATCTGAATCGGCTACAATTATTACAGTTCACACTAAGAGTGGTGAAAAATTATTGAAGAATGAGACTGAATAAGAAAAACCAGGTAGCAAAGAACTAGAAAAATGACACAGCAGGGAATGTATATTAAGATGAATAGATTTACAAAATGACAATGATTCCTTCTACATGATGGAGGTTAAAAAGGTATACACTGAATGTCCCATTTTCTTAATGAATAAGGTCACTCAAATGTTTTCCTCTTTATTATTATTATTTTAACACATAAATATTGGTACAAGGAAGCACCATATAAATATGCGCCACACAAATCTCATTTGATTTGTGCTTTTCGTCCTCTCAATTTCGTAAACAACACCCCCGCCACGAGAAGGCAGTGAGTAGGACTTCCCTGGCAGAGGCTATATATTCGCGTGGCCATGTGAGAGCATTTCCAGAGGGAGAGCGGACTCTCCCCACTCTCGGCCATACCGGGGCATTTCGGGGCGTTTCAATTACCAAATAACAATACATATACTTAGCTAACTGTCACTTACTTCGTTAATAAGGACTAGAGATATCTAAGTTTTAAAGTTAACTTATTTACCAGGTGCTTGGGCATGAGCCACGCTAATTATGAATGTTAAAGACATTATGCCGTTCAGCGAAACAAAAGTGGAACAGAACTAATGATACCACCCTGCTGCCAAAACCAACCTGTGTGCAGTAGAGTCGGAAAGCGCGACCTATTCGTTGAAAGATAACTGTTTTAACTGCTAAACGACTGCTTTAAAGTTGGTACTGTTATCACATACGCTTTCCTATTCATTGATTTAAGTCAATGAGTATTGGGTGAGGAAGCCATTCGAAAACTTATTGTTACTTCTGCTGAGTATTAGGTCTCCGCTTACACTCACATCCAGAAGACATCGCTGACCAAACAGCTGTTAAATAACTACTCTTACAATTTATTTTAATAAGATTTTACTGTTTTTTCGGATTGTCTGAAATTCCTTAGATGGATCATAACAAAGAAAAAACAAGGGAAGTTCATGACGCATAAATCGGCTTTTCCTCGAAAGTCATGGGATCAATCAGCTAACAACTATTAAAATGGAGGGTGATTGTCATACTTTCGTGTTTTTACTACATGTTATCCCAGTTATTTTTGGAAATACAGCCAAGACAAAGTAAAGGCTTATACATATTGGAATTTCTATTCGACAACCAAAGGGTAACACCAGCACTTTACTGCAGTCCTAGTATATAGACTAAACTCTGAGGCAACTGCGATCACAAGACCATAAGTTTGCAGTGTCGTCCACTTTAGTAAGACATGTCTCAAAGCAACATAACAACATAATGCGATCCCAAGTAGTATATTAAAAACCAAAGTATTAGTTAGTTGCCTAACCTATGACTTAATCACATAAGTTAATAAAACTCAATAGAGCCCTCAAGTCTATGTAACTCCTCAAGTATACATTGTAAGATTAAGCATCCGAGTAGGATATCTCATTCAACTATCGTCGTGAGTTCTGTTTTACGGTTCATGATCTTTGGATACTGTACTCAGGTATCTACACCCACCACTAGCATACTGTTTAAACACTGGGACTCGATTTGTCTTCAATGAGAAAACTGACTGAGACTAAATAATACCTTTCACCATAGAGTTTGATAAATTGTGGAGAATGTATTCGCTGACAGAAATACCTAATATGACACCTAATTAAAAACTCTCGTAGTTGAGACCAGAAAGTTTTATTGAAAAATCCTGACATTCACCCACGATCGGTGAGGTAAATTACTATCAGGTTATTGAAAAGTTGTCTGCTAATATGGATTTATTCTACGGCAGAGAGACAGGGTTGAGAATTCTACCTCGCAGTCCCAAGTCGTAAAATACTCTAGATTTCACGTCCTTTCTTAATCACTGAAAGTGCCTGCAACTCACCAAAAGACAGGACAGGGTTACTTGGAAACAAGATTCCATACGGTTAAATGTTCACTTTCCACAAAACTTAAAAAATATTTTATCTCCGAGTAGCGCCTACCCTGTCCATATGGCACAGTACGCAATATATTACAGTATATTACCTAAATAAACAATAGGAACATACGTTACACAAGTGACAATTCTTTACACCCGTGCTTATCACTGAAATAAATTCCTTTTAGCTTTTATTTCTAGAAGAGGCGTTATGTGGAGATAATTGTAATAACGGTATCAAGCTAAACAAGAAATGTGTGAACTAGAAATGTTGAGAAGCATCAATAATAAAATAAAAGCATGGTATGCTTTCAGAGTTGTGTGAAAAACAGTCATTGGTCCAGCATGAAATCGTTACTTCAAGGTCCAACAGTGTAATGTTGCACCTTGACGAGACTACTTAAACAACTATTTCCACAAAGAATAACTAGAATATATTGCAGATCTGAACAGGGTAGAAATGTGACGGCTAGTATTTAAGGAAATCTTTTTCGAGTTATTAATATAAAAGTATGTTCGCAATACGCTATCTAGTTGGACTTCGAAAACTCTACCAAGGGTAACTAAATTTCTCATCGTAATACAAAAGTTTATACATGAGACGCCGATTGACCTTCGGGGTTACTTATTTCTAACTTGTCATTTAAAAAGTAAAGCAACATTAGTGCTGGGATCTACCTCGACACTAATATTGCAAACACGAGAGGGGAATCAAATGCAACTCTGAAAACTAGCAATCTTAGTTGGTAATAAACAGAATCACCTGGATTCTCATTTGTGATTGAAATGGCACAATTGTATGCAGATCACATACGCTAAATAACTGGAAAATTGCCCGAAACTAATGGATATCACATTTGTCATAATGTAGCTGTAAATAATTCCCCGAAATCAATAGCTCATTAAGTGTTCGACATTGGATGCTGACCACATTGTTTTAAGTAAGCTTGTTTAACTGAAGGTGTTCGGTCATGCATCCGCACCAGATCACGTTACGACTTTGCGTGGGAAACAGCTCCCACGTTCACTAGCCAGAGTAGAGCAACTGCTTTTCGATATACTGATAACGCATCAAATATATCTTTCCTACCTCTTCGCATCTGACTTCTGTTTTTAACCCAGTGAGGGACGCTTCGAATATAGGTGTTACTGGTTAGTAGTTATCAAACTAGAATACTTGTCGTATCTTCAATAACTTTACAGGAGACAAAAGACAGGCAATATTGGTCTTCTTTTTGACAGCTCCTGTTGATAATCTATTTTCCTCGAATTGTTCAGCTGAAGTTACATATGACTATTTTTGGTATTAGATCCCACGAATTTATTACTTGGTAGGGAAATCTAAATGTCATGGGGTTTCTGTTTGTCCTGGTTTTCGAACTCCTTTTTAGTGTCCTCTGAGATGTCTTAAGTAGGGTGGAAGTAGAAGAGGGAATACGCAAGGTGCATAGCTGTTTTACAGTAATCTGCTCATTACACTTTAAGCACCCCATAGTCTCACATATGTTGTAGAGAAACCTTAATTTTGGAGCTGCCTTGCGTATGACTTGTCACTTGTAACAATTCGCTTCCAGCCAGAAAGTATATTTTATTCTAAGGGAGGTTATGGAACAGCAAAAGTTAGGGAAAAGAAAAAAACAAAATGCAAATAATTTGAGGCGGCGTCTCTATTCTTTGAATTCTGAGAGCAGCCTATAATAGGTAAATACACAGCACGTGTGAAACTAAGACTATTCGACTATCAAAACCAGAAATACGAGCTTCAGATCTCAAATCCATATACTGATAACCTATCAAATATATCCTTGGATCTCCTCACCTCTGTTTTTCGATTTCCCTTACTGTTTAAAGCGTTGTCAAACTCCAAATACCTGCGGCATCTTCATCGGTGAGCCTAACGTGATTTGGTACACCGACTTACAAACTGTGAACCTGTTTCTTTCTGGAAATTCATGAATCATTGCTTTATTTTGTAGGACCAGTGAAATATCATTGAACCCTAGCCAAATCATCAGGCAGTTGGGTCACTAAATATAGAACAGATCATCGTCAAGGTCAATGACAATGTGCGCGCATCAGTTAATCATAAGCCATGGACTGGCTCACGCGACAGTAGTTCTACTTTCGCTTGTATCTACTTTAATACATTCCTGTTATAACGTTCTTTGTGTTGTACAGACTTCAGAGCATCCATGGTCCCTTGATACGTCAATGGGGCAATCCACGTAAGGTGCTGGTCGCAAGATGTGACTTCGAAGTTAGCTTATTCATTTCACCGTTCCCGTCTAACTCGAGTAGGCCTCCAATCATTCGACATAAATCATCAACATTGATGGTCTACGATTTTAATTTTTATATATTGTGTTATTTTTCTTTTAGAGTTTTCGGATATTTTTTTCTCGTCCATTCTCGTACTCGATATTTCGTTCTGACGGAACAGACACCTAAGGTATTCAAGTTAAATACCATGTCCCCAACTTTATTTCAACTTATACCCTCCTGGCCAGACGACATCAAAGCCTGGTTCTGACACGCAGAAGCCAATCTCTATGAGCACGGCTTGAACGACACACGTTCACAATTCATCACAGTAGTCAAGGCACTACCGCGCGAATTCAACAGGTACGTCACACCTAGTATGTTTACTAGTGATGTGTCGGAACCTTACAAAACTCTAAAATGGTTCATTTTGAAACGCTGAGATCTAACTAATCTACAAGGGTTAGACCAACTCCTTAATAATATCGACCTGCAACATAGTTCTGTGACAGACATGTTATCGGCCAAAGAACTTTCGGTGATGGCCTATTCAGACAAATTTCCTTATCCAAACTTCCTCAGCGGGTGCAAACTGAGCTGATTTCGTTTCAAAACAACGCCACAGGCGACCTGGCTACATCTGATGATTGCATCCTAGAAATCACGAAATCTAATGCCGAGGATTTTTCAGGCAAAAACTCTCAATCGACACAGATCGACATTAAGGAATTATGGCATACACTAACACGCTATCTTAGATTTCATAATGACCGTAAGCGGTCACCCACCCCTCGAAGAAGCACTTTGCGTAGGCGACCTGTCTCCAGACCAGAAGAGACGGATAACCCCGACTGGCGCTGTTGCCATAACCAGTATGGAAAGTTTTCCAGGAATTGCAGCAAAACCCTGCAATTATCCGAACTCAAAACCAACCTACACAAAAAAAATTCGGGAAACTTCCCACCTGGCACGGGTTAACGGCAACCTAGCCGGTAAACATAGCCGTCTGTTATTCGTCACAGATGTGATAACGAAAGTCCGCCACCTCGTCAATACTGGTGCAGAAATTAGGTGTTCTTCCTGCAACACCACAATCTACTCATCGATACGTGCACACACAGACAAGTAGACGGAAATACGAATTAATCTGCTAGTGTAACTCTTTTCCGGTTGTAGATTATCTTCTGTCAGAATTAGGCACACAATAAACCCATCCTTTCAGCCATTACTCCATAAGCACTCTGGGATTAACCAGTCACAACCGAAATTGCTTTGTGTAATGAGTTATGTTACACAACACATCACAACTACATGACCGCCAGTATTCTTGAAAGCATGCGGACTGGCTCCGAAAAAACTGACATTGGTCAATAACGAATTCAACCACATGATAGAGTTAGTAATTGTAAGATCCAATTTGAAGGTTTCGTGAGTGAAAATCCCTCTATGCATACATTTGCAACTTATTCTTATTAGTTTCTTCAGTTGTACATTTTGTTATTCCTTTTGATGCCATTCGACATGGTAATAATTTGTTTTATTTTGGTTTTCTCATTTTTCTTTTGCCTTCACAGAGTTTCTATGTTTCTTTCTGAACTGTATTCATGTTGTTTTAAGTAATATTTCATCTTGGCGGCAGCCACACTGATTGTTTTCCCTTTGGTCGTGTTGCTTGAGTTGACTGAGATTATGCATTTTCATCGTTAATTGAAACACTTTACCAGGATTGGAAACACTTTGTGTTATAAAGCAACGAGCTACTATCTTTTGAATGGATTATTAGATGATCTATCCAGAAAAGATAGAATAACACTTATCTTTTGGTGCGCTCGGTAATTTTTCTACATTCCTTATCAATTTGTCTATTTATTGTAATTTAGATAGATCATTAAGGGAAAAATTATTGGTTGAATAACTGAGCGGTAATATCTGTTAAGGTAATAGTGTACATTTGTGTTTATAATGAAATTTGGATCCTTTATTTTCCCAACCCCCTAGTTTTTATTTCAATTGGGGAATATCGTGTATCTTAACTCCGCAGAGAGTTATTCTTCAGCCAAACCTTAGTTTTACAGGAATCATTCGACCGTCACAGCTACATTGAAAGGTACAACTGTCTTTTTGAAAATCGACTTGGTTAAAGCCTATAACCAAATCCCTATGGCTGATGATGATATTCCAAAACCAGCTATCCTAACTTCCTTTGTACTGTACGAGTTTTCGCGAATGCCTTTCGGTCTAAGAAATGCTGACAAGACTTTCCAAAGATTCATAGATGACGTTTATTGAGGTCTCAAACCCGTGCATGCGTGTACTGATCACTGCTTGATAGCAAGTTCGGACAGAGAATACATGGCATGGCATTACTGTAGACATTCAGAATCGGAACCGACTTTTTAGATTTCCTGAGACACACTATTGATGCGCGAGGCAACCGACCTCATAGAAGTGGTGGCCATTCTGGATTACCCAGAACCGGCCACTATTAGGCAATTGCTCACATTTAACGGTCTTGTGAGTTTCTATAGACGGTTCATACCGAAATGCGCGTCCCTTATGAAACCACTATCCGACCAACTTTGTGGAAATGCGAAATTCATCATTTCGGACGATAATGTAGAAGAAGCATTCTGCACAGTTAAGGAACTTATCTCAAAGGCGACCATGCTGGCACATCAGGGCACTCAAGCGCCCTTTCGTGTCGCAGTAGACGCATCCGACTTAGTAATTGGATGAGTTCTACA